GTTTCCTTGGACCTGGAGAAGTAGGACCCAGTCGCCCTTTGATCTGCTTGCACACAGCCAATTGGACAGCAGTGGTGTCTCAGTAGCCGAAGAGGGATAGTTCGCCTGATGGTGACTAGCTCCCCTTCATCATCTGCTGCTGCCGCCACCAAGAAAAGGAAGCCTGTGCAGGGGCAGGGGCGAGGGGCCATGAATCTGCAAGGGGGGGGCAACAGTGTAGACTTTTGTCCCCATGCTAAAATGTTTATCTTTGGCACTGCACGTGTAGACTGTAGAGACAGTGTACATGACCAATGTTGTCTGTTCAACCTTGGCTACTGTATTCAGGCTATAATGAGTGTAAAGGTTTTATAAAACAGGGCTATACACAGCATTATTGAGGCTCAAAAGACAGGCCTGCAATAGGTGTGGCTCTTTCTTGCTCTAACTGCCTGTTCACCTGCCTCCTCTGTGTAAACAGCGGAAAAAACAAGGAAAAACAGCAGCAGCAGCCTCTGCTTGTCTTGCCCTCTGGGTTGGTGATGCAAATTGGGTCCAGAGGGAAATGGCAAGCGGACAGAGAGCTGTATCAATGACAAGGAGGAGGTGGATTCACTCAGGTAACAGGCCCCACTGAGGGCATGTTGCTCATGGACTAAAACAGACACTGCTTCTCTTGAAGACCCCGGGGAAGGGGTAAGCTAAAACCCTGAAACTTCAGGTCAAACTCTGGGATCCTGAACTTTCTACTCTTGGCTGGTTTTTATTCTCCCTGTTATCTCGACTTTTCATACAAAGGACTGTCTTATATAGCATCAGACAATTGCTCTACACAACAGGGTTGACAACCTCTGCCTCAAAAGATGTATGGCTAGGAGTTGTCTGGCAACTGTAACTTCTCCCATCATGAAACTTGTAAACCAGTTTGAGATTTTTTTATTTAAAATATGAAGTGGTATAGAAATTAAATGAATAATAATAATAAAGTGCATATTAGGAATGAGGAGCATTTATCTATCCTCCTTTGCCTTGTATGCCCATCCAAGACAGATTTGGCAATAAAATTAGGATATTGCACAGAATCAAAGAGTTGGAGAAGGCCTTGTTGGTCATCTAGACCAACCTCCTGCTTCTTGCTAGAGCATCCCCAACAGATTCCTGGCTGGCCTCTGCTTTCCAAAAGCTCTCTGGACCAGAAAAGTGGATATTTATGGGGCATTTTGAAAAATAAAAAATAGGTTTCAGTTCAAACTCCCTTTTGCAAGGAGGAGGAGGAGGAGGAGGAGGAGGAGGAGGAGGAGGAGGAGAAGAAGAAGAAGAAGAAGAAGAAGAAGAAGAAGAAGAAGAAGAAGAAGATTGTCATTACTGCATATGTGTTAGGAGCTGAAGAGTATCATAGAATCATAGAATCATAGAGTTGGAAGAGACCACAAGGGCCATCGAGTCCAACCCCCTGCCAAGCAGGAAACACCATCAGAGCACTCCTGACATATGGTTGTCAAGCCTCTGCTTACAGACCTCCAAAGAAGGAGACTCCACCACACTCCTTGGCAGCAAATTCCACTGTCAAACAGCTCTTACTGTCAGGAAGTTCTTCCTAATGTTTAGGTGGAATCTTCTTTCTTGTAGTTTGGATCCATTGCTCCGTGTCCGCTTCTCTGGAGCAGCAGAAAACAACCTTTCTCCCTCCTCTATGTGACATCCTTTATATATTTGAACATGGCTATCATATCACCCCTTAACCTCCTCTTTTCCAGGCTAAACATGCCCAGCTCCCTTAGCCGTTCCTCATAAGGCATCGTTTCCAGGCCTTTGACCATTTTGGTTGCCCTCCTCTGGACACGTTCCAGTTTGTCAGTGTCCTTCTTGAACTGTGGTGCCCAGAACTGGACACAGTACTCCAGGTGAGGTCTGACCAGAGCAGAATACAGTGGCACTATTACTTCCCTTGATCTAGATGCTATACTCCTATTGATGCAGCCCAGAATTGCATTGGCTTTTTTATAATAATAATAATAATAAATTTTATTTATATCCCGCCCTCCCCAGCCGAAGCCAGGCTCAGCTGCCGCGTCACACTGTTGGCTCATGTCAAGTTTGTGGTCAACCAAGACTCCTAGATCCTTTTCACATGTAGGTTAGCAGGAAGATATAGAGCATTCACTGACTGGAAATGAAGCAGTATGTCTGCCCCAAAACCTTCGCAGGAGCAAACAGTACTGAAAGCACCCCAGTACTATCCTGAGCGGAGACTACTATTGGAGAGCACTCCCTAGTACTATTGGGGAGCGGGTGGCACTGTGGTCTAAACCACTGAGCCTCTTGGGCTTGCTGATCAGAAGGTTGGCAGTTTGAATCTGCCTTACAGGGTGAGCTCCTGTTGCTCTGTCCCAGCTTCTGTCAACCTAGCAGTTCAAAAGCACACCAGTGCAAGTAGATAAATAGGCAGAGCTGTGGTGGGAAGGTAAAAATCATTTCCATGCACTCTGGTTTCCATCACAGTGTTCTGTTGCACCAGAAGTGGTTTAGTCATGCTGACCGCATGACCTGGAAAAGCTGTCTGGGCACAAACGCCGACCCACTCAGTCTGAAGCAAGATGAGCACCACAAGCCCATAGTCGCTGTTGACTGGACTTAATCATCCAGGGGTCCTTTACCTTACCTTTTCTCTTTACTATCCTCAGCACAAACCAGCCCGAATGCACAACAGGAAGGATGTCTAGAGGGCACCAAGAACTGCCAGGCAGAGAGGGGCGAGGATGTAAAGAATTTCAAAGCTAGACAAGTATTTCACACAGTATCATGGACAAATAATGGTGCAGTAATACCCATACACCTTCTAAACCCTATTTAAAATGCAAATATCTGGCTTGAAAAGCTTTATAATCAAGCTTAAGCAGAACATGTTGAGGAAATCTCCACTCAATATGAAGTTGGACATATCTGGCCCACGTACTGATTAGACTCTAATCAGTACTGGATTAGTACAGAACTAATTCCAGTTCCCCCACTAAATACCCTTCCATCAATGCTTTTGCTCTGCAGTGTTAAATCCTTCATAATAGATGTGCAAGTTAAGCAATAAATAAATAAACCCAAAATACTCCCCAAAAGATATTAACTGTGTCAAACTGTCATGCTATGAGAGGATGCTTAAATCATCTTGCTATCCTGAAAAGATTTACCTGGAACTTGTCCTAGATTTTAAGTTAACTGTTGTCATGTGAATCTGTCCAATTTTGTTATGAATGGTTCATCTTTATTCATAATTTGCCATCTTGGTTTATATAAGATACTGCCTGAGTATTATTATTATTATTATTATTATTCCTACTTCTTGTTGTTGTTTAGTCATTTAGTGTCCGACTCTTCGTGACCCCATGTTCCTATTACAATTTAGTAATCTCCTTCTAAACAACCATATAAAGGTGAATCAAGGTAATTTATACATAAGATAATTAACAGCAATTAAAAACATTTAAAACAAGAATATATTTAAATACATTTAAACAAGAATGTCTTCCAACTGCTTCCAGAACGTGCACATAGTGGGTGCCTATCATATCTCAACAGGGGCAGCCAAGTTCTTCTGGAGTGGGGCTTCTGAGATCTTTGGGACTTATAAGTAAAATGACTATGCTTCCCAGTCTGCTAGTGGGGGACACATCTTTAGGTCTTACTGTCCTGACATCTTCTGATAAAGTATCAGCAGATGAGGAGCTAGCTGCTCTGGCATCCAGAGCGGCGCACATGCTGTGCGTCCCGGGGGTGCCGCCCGCATCAAGCAGCCCAGGAGGGCACTGCCCACAGCGAACGGCCCCGGGGGGGCGATGTCACCCCCCCTGAGGGATGACACCCGGGGTGAACCGCACCCACCACACACCCCTTCCTCCACCAGTGAGTATTAGTGATTTCAGTGGGACTTACTCACAAGTAGGTGTGCACAGGTTTGCAGTCCTAAGAAAACGTCTTAAGCATATGCAGCAAAAATCATATATATAATGTTTATGCTTTTCTAGTCTTTCCTTCATCTCCTTGAAAGGATAGCCTTGAGTCTTCCTCATAGGCTTTGAAGACACTTTTTTCGGGGGGGGGGGGGACTCTGGTGCCCAAAACATTTCTGTTGCTGGCAAGGAGAAAGGAAATGAGGTTGAGAGTCAGTTATCATTAACTCCATTCCCACCGGGTCATTCTGTCCCAGGAAGGTTATGGGGTGTTGTTGAAAGCAGCCAGCTGCCGCTTTCAGGGGAAGCAAGGCTTTTATTTGCCAAAAATAAATGAATTAATAAAGTTAAACCAGGTAATGGCTATAGTGCAGCTTGGTTTGGAGGTTGTTTTTTGACATGCTACTCCTTGCTGATCCGTTTTGTTGTCTTGAACTGTTTGGACTATTCTATGAGTTTAATATGCGCAACTCACTCTTGGACACATTGTTTATTTATATCATTGTATCCCACAACTGTAGTATAAATTTTGTTTTCCAGGGTGCCCAACAATATAGCTAAAATATAACATGACAAAAGTGAAGTATAAGGAACTTGACATACCAAATCTGCCCATTGGTTAAAAATACTTGGATCATTAAAATCTGGTAGCCTAGGATTGCATCCAACAAATTCATCCTGTTATAACAAGGACTTCTGCCAGTAAAATGGGACTTCCTCTCCCCTCCAAATCTGTTCCAGATGATGGTTGGGGGTGGGGATATCCATAACAGACTGGAAGGGTACAAGGGCACAAAGGGAGAGGGAGAGGACATTCCATAGTACAGGTGGAGGTCTTTGAGCTAATGGGACAACTTTGTTGGATACTTGCCTATAAATTAGTGTGGAACCTAAATGACCATACTGTGGATGCAAGTCTCCTTGGGGAGCAAAATAGATGCTTAAGCTGAATTGTGAGGATAAAATAAAGAAGTGTTTTAAAATAAAACAATAGCATGATAAACTGGGTTACCTATTTATATGGGTAGTACCAATCGAAGGTTCCTGTACTCCGTTTTCAGGACACCAATAAAAGCCTCAGTTGCCTGTAAATGAATGGATAAATTTGAATGACTAAAGATTTCCTGCGAAAAACAGATACGTTTCATTTCATTCAGAAACAAGTTATTTACAAAATGTTTATTATTATCTGGACAATATGCTGAATGGATACAGCTCAGTTGGTAGAGAATCTCAGGGTTATGCATTCGAACCCGATGTTGGGCAAAAGATTGCATTGCATTGCAGGGGGTTGTACTAGATGACCCTTGTGTTTCCTTCCAACTCTAAAGATTTGCCTCTAGGTCATTTTCATCCTGGACTGCACTTCTGTGTATTTTTTATGAGTATTTTTGCTGGCTTGGCTTTAACCACTTGGGTTTGCTTCATCAGAAATATGATTTATTGGATAACAGACAAGTTGGTGGGCTTTAGTAACACGTATTCTCTGTTTGTCAGTCACTATAATTGAAGGGGCAGAGGAACCAGAGACCAAATTGCAAACATGCGCTGGATTATGGAGAAAGCTAGAGAGTTCCAGAAAGACATCTACTTTTGCTTCATTGACTATGCAAAAGCCTTTGACTGTGTCGACCACAGCAAACTATGGCAAGTTCTTAAAGAAATGGGAGTGCCTGATCACCTCATCTGTCTCCTGAGAAATCTCTATGTGGCACAAGAAGCTACAGTTAGAACTGGATATGGAACAACTGATTGGTTCAAAATTGGGAAAGGAGTACGGCAAGGCTGTATATTGTCTCCCTGCTTATTTAACTTATATGCAGAATTCATCATGCGAAAGGCTGGGCTGGATGAATCCCAAGCCGGAATTAAGATCGCAGGAAGAAATATCAACAACTTCAGATATGCAGATGACACAACCTTGATGGCAGAAAGTGAGGAGGAATTAAAGAACCTTTTAATGAGGGTGAAAGAGGAGAGCGCAAGATATGGTCTGAAGCTCAACATCAAAAAAACGAAGATCATGGCCACTGGTCCCATCACCTCCTGGCAAATAGAAGGGGAAGAAATGGAGGCAGTGAGAGATTTTACTTCTTGGGCTCCATGATCACTGCAGATGGTGACAGCAGTCATGAAATTAAAAGACGCCTGCTCCTTGGGAGAAAGGCGATGGCAAACCTAGACAGCGTCTTAAAAAGCAGAGACATCACCTTACCAACAAAGGTCCATATAGTTAAAGCCATGGTTTTCCCAGTAGTGATGTATGGAAGTGAGAGATGGACCATAAAGAAGGCTGATCGCCGAAGAATTGATGCTTTTGAATTATGGTGCTGGAGAAGACTCTTGAGAGTCCCATGGACTGCAAGAAGATCAAACGTATCCATTCTTAAGGAAATCAGCCCTGAGTGCTCACTGGAAGGACAGACCGTGAAGCTGAGGCTCCAATACTTTGGCCACCTCATGAGAAGAGAAGACTCCCTGGAAAAGACCCTGATGTTGGGAAAAGTTGAGGGCACAAGAAGAAGGGGATGACAGAGGACGAGATGGTTGGACAGTGTTCTCGAAGCTACAAACATAGAATCATAGAATCATAGAATCATAGAATCATAGAATCATAGAGTTGGAAGAGACCACAAGGGCCATCGAGTCCAACCCCCTGCCAAGCAGGAAACACCATCAGAGCACTCCTGACATATGGTTGTCAAGCCTCTGCTTAAAGACCTCCAAAGAAGGAGACTCCACCACACTCCTTGGCAGCAAATTCCACTGTCAAACAGCTCTTACTGTCAGGAAGTTCTTCCTAATGTTTAGGTGGAATCTTCTTTCTTGTACTTTGGATCCATTGCTCCGTGTCCGCTTCTCTGGAGCAGCAGAAAACAACCTTTCTTCCTCCTCTATGTGACATCCTTTTATATATTTGAACATGGCTATCATATCACCCCTTAACCTCCTCTTCTCCAGGCTAAACATGCCCAGCTCCCTTAGCCGTTCCTCATAAGGCATCGTTTCCAGGCCTTTGACCATTTTGGTTGCCCTCCTCTGGACACGTTCCAGTTTGTCAATGTCCTTCTTGAACTGTGGTGCCCAGAACTGGACACAGTACTCCAGGTGAGGTCTGACCAGAGCAGAATACAGTGGCACTATTACTTCCCTTGATCTAGATGCTATACTCCTATTGATGCAGCCCAGAATTGCATTGGCTTTTTAGCTGCCGCGTCACACTGTTGGCTCATGTCATGTTTGTGGTCAACCAAGACTCCTAGATCCTTTTCACATGTACTGCTCTCAAGCCAGGTGTCCCCATCTTGTATTTGTGACTCTCATTTTTTTGCCCAAGTGCAATACTTTACATTTCTCCCTGTTAAAATTCATCTTGTTTGTTTTGGCCCAGTTCTCTAATCTGTCAAGGTCGTTTTGAAGTGTGATCCTGTCCTCTGGGGTGTTAGCCACCCTCCCAATTTGGTGTCATCTGCAAATTTGATCAGGATGCCCTTGAGTCCATCATCCAAGTCGTTGATAAAGATGTTGAATAAGACCGGGCCCAAGACAGAACCCTGTGGCACCCCACTAGTCACTCTTCTCCAGGATGAAGAGGAACCATTGATGAGCACCCTTTGGGTTCGGTCAGTCAGCCAGTTACAAATCCACTGAGTGGTAGCATAGTCAAGACCACATTTTACCAGCTTCTTTACAAGAATATCATGAGGCACCTTGTCAAATGCCTTGCTGAAAATAAATGAGTCTGACCAAACTACCAAAAAACATGAGTCTGACCAAACTGCGGGAGGCAGTGGAAGACAGGAGTGCCTGGCGTGCTCTGGTCCATGGGGTCACAAAGAGTCGGACACGACTTAACGACTAAACAACATAATCACAATAGACTGATTTTTTTTCAGATATTGTTGGGGCGAATGCACATTTTACCCAACAGTCTTGCCTATACCCATAAAGTACAAAGGGGGTGGGAGTGTACAGAGAGTATGTCTGAAAGCAGGCCATGCATACCAGACCTCTCTCCATCAGTGGCAAAGTCTAGCTACAGTGAGGAAAACCAACAGCAAGGAGCAAGGGCTTACTGAAGAACATGGATGTGTGAAGAGGTAAAGGATGGAGCCAGAGGAATGCTAAGGGAAATGAAGGCCTGTGAGCTAATAAAAAAAGCTCACTGCAAACCATAAGGTCCCTAGTAGAAACACTGAAGATTTAGATCTGAGAGACAAGGTCTAACTTCTTTGCACAACTACCGATTTAGTGAGTGGCCTTTGCTCACACCTCCCCGCCCCCAACATCAGTTCTGCAAAAAAGGGACAAGCAATCTCACATGGATGTTGTGAAGGTAAGCAAGATTTTAAAAAGAAATCACCTTCCACTTAGACAATGAAACACCACTTTGCAATAACTCCTCTTAACCAATGTATGGTTGCAGGCTTGGAAGAGTTGATATGTTTAATGTTGTTGGGAAATGGTGATGTTTACTTTGAAGCTAGCTTGTTTTTTTTGGGGGGGGGGGTTGAAGAGCCTCCTAAAAAGCATGCTTCGTACATCATGGATTTTAGGTGTGTATGTAAATCATTCTAAGTGTGCACCTAAAGCATGACTCAGACAAACACAATTTTGGAAACATGTGTCTCATGCAGGTACAGAGAGCCAGGATTACTGAGTGAGCACTTGGCAACAACCTGATGTCATATAATATGCAAAATGTTGTCAGTGATCTCTCATTTGTTATACATTTCAAAACTGGTTTGCATTGGCACAAACAGCTCATGCTGTGAGAGGGTACTGTTTTTCAGGGCAAGAACAAACCTGTGTGCATCGTGGGGAAGAGGAGGCTGTTTTCCCCAGAGAACCTTGAATGGGGAAGCCTTATAACAAACATTATGACAGCAAGGCTGCTGCCATCTTTCTGCAAAGCCCCCCAGTAAAAGGCCCCAGTCATCTCAATGCAGTAATTAGCTGCATTATAATGAGCTGATTGGAATCGAGGCTGTAGCTCACATTGATTTGTAACACCCATCCATGGTATGCAGAGGAATTTTAAAACAAATTAATTAAGCTTCCTCTGGCTCAGCAGAATAATCAATACAGTGGAGACATCTGAGTGCCTTCAGCATTAGCGGCCTTGCCATGCCTTCTGATGTGCCACTGCAGCAAAAATAATTCAACATGGTTTAGCTCAGGGGATACAGCAAGTAGCTGCATAAATAGTTATTAGCTGAAGAGATGGCTCTTAGGCACAGATATAATCCAAAACACTGTAAGATCTGCAGCTTCTAAATGATCAAGATAATAAGAAAAAGATTAGGTTTGCTTGGTCCAGTTGTTTTATAAGAAATGAAACAAACAAATTAACACTTGTAAACTTCCCCCCAAGGCCAGGTCTGATTTTAAATGGCTTAAAGCTATATGGAAGGCTAATTAAACCTAATTTACATATTACAGGCATAGCATTCACCTAATATGGGGCTGCTACAGATGTCAGGATTAACAAAACCATCCAGGACTAATACCTGCCAGGACTAATGCCTTTTCTTTTAAGCAGTTCATTGTGTTTATGTCCCTATAAATCTCCGAAGAATTTTTTCTTTCCTAATGTTTCTTAGGTTTGGCGCATGCATGCACATGCGCGCGCGCACACACACACACACACACACTATAGCTCTACCCAGACTTTCTAATCCCCCATTCAATTAGAATCACATGAGTGTGAATGGGATGAGCATGCTAGCTCTGCCCCATCCTCATTTTCCGTTAGTCGGAGGCGAACTGCTGGAGGCAGTGGGGAGCCTGCTGTCCTTGTGTAGACTCCCTATGTAATAGAGACTCCTGGAAGATCAGTATGCCAAATTACACAAGGATCCCCCACAAGTAGAAGGAGATCTCCACTTCAGAGGCTACCCCTCCAACTCCCGGGGGGGGGCAGAAATGAGGGGCAGAGCTAGTGGACTCACCCCCTCCCTCGCATTTGTGTTATTATACCTGGGAAGGCGGGGTGAGAACACCTGAATAAGGCTTATGTAGAAGCTTCCATGTGTGAAGGGGTAATAACTGGTATTATGGGCTGTATACAGTGTAGCACTAAGAAACTCATTAGGCAAGCAGAATGACTTCTGTTTGCGAAATGGGACTGTCCTCCCTCTGGAGCAGATTTGGATATGCTGCAGGGCATGCACAGTGGCAGAGAATAGCTCCAGTAAGGGGCATTCTACAAAATAATAACAATTAAAGAGTATATGCACGCAGGTCAACACTGAAGCAAAAAGCAATCTTTCAAAAATCTGCATTAGTGAAACTGAGGACTCCAGCAGCCACTCACAACCATAGTCATTGGAGAAAAAGCCCATTGACCACCCTGCCAATTTTCAAGAGGCTTCCCTGGATACCCTAGAACAGGGATTTTTGAAGTGTGATGTGGGAGTTCCATTCATTTGGTATGCAGAAAGATTTGCAGAACAGTTGAGAATATCTGCACTTAATTTTTCTTCTTCTTCTGACAACAGAGATCAGTGGGGGGAGGGAATTTTCATAATATGACACTGGTAGACTCTACTAATTTTTCCCTAAAACTCTACCAAGTACAGGGACACTTTTCAGTGGCCTGACTTAGGGCCTATGATTTTCATAATGCAATACCGATTGTGCTGTGGGTGAAGAACATTTTTATTTTAAGTGGTCTACTGAAACCACCTGCGCTTTTGAAGTGGTCTGCAAAGAAAGAAAGTAAAAATGAGAACCACGGTCCTCATCCGTTTCACCAATGCTTTAAAAATTGCTGTGTTTCCCCGCTGCCCCTCTTCAGATCAAATCTGACACGCCGTAGGATTTAGTTTTACTTATGATTTTAACTTCTGGTTTGAGATCAACAGTGCAGAAACACTCCAACGAGAGAAAATTTAATCTATCAGATTAATACAGAACAGCTTCACACACAGAGAGAGTTCGGTCACTGCCATCCAAACCAATGTAATAATTGTTGCATAAATTATGCTTGTTCTTTGCAATTATTGCCCACATGATATAAATGAGGAGCTGAGGAAGATGTTGAAACTTATAATTAACGTGGGGCACTTATAAATGCTTTGCAGAGAGCAGCATGGCAGAGTTGTCATTAAAATTACATCTCTCTGAAATAACAACGTGCTTTGCTTTGTAGCCACTCAGGCAGGGGTGAGTCTGAGGGTTGTTTTGCTGATCCTGCCAAGAGGAATAATTTTAATACACTGCTTGAAAGATGTGCCACCTGCTATTTTATTATCTGTAATTTATGATGCAACGAGTGCTTGTAAATTCTTACAACACTTTATGAGACCAATAAAATCAAGAGCATGGGACTTCTCTCCTACTTCCCGGTTTGCCACCAAGCTGAACAGCTTAGGATACAATCCCAAATCAATGTGAATGGTTTTTACGTGTGACTGAGCCTAATGCGCAAAAATAAAAAGTCCCTTTTGCTGATTTGGAGTTTCTCCACTCTACATCACCGTAGAGTCTGCAGAAGTGCAGGACCTGATGCAAGCTAGGAGTGAAGGTATTACATGCTCAAAGAACGCATTGGTTCTTTCTTTTTCAAAAGGAAACAATGGCTCAACTCTCATGTCACACCACCATAGTCCACACTAGTCACAACTGGGAACCCAAACTATGGGTGATGGTCACTGCTAGTCCTACTCAGAGTACACTCACTGAATTTAGGTTCATTAATTTCATTGGGTCTACTCTGCACAGGATTTAATTGAATTCAGTCCTATAATCTGAAAGCCTGGATATGCCGGCAAACCATGGGTTATAGCTGGCTTTCTAGTTTTATTTTCCATTGGCTCAGCATTTCTACCCCTATTGCACAGGGTCTTCTGGAGGCGGAGCAATAATCAGGACTATGCTTTTTCAACTCTGAGAACACTTCAAACCGTGAAAGCATTAACATTCACTGAGAGCATATGGCCTTTGTCATGTACAAACAGCTTGGGCCGTTACTGCACAATGACTCCCTATGGCTGCACAGATAAACAAGATGTATGTGGTCAGAAACAACCTACCTGTGTTTTCTGTGAGAAATCATATGGACTGAAATAGGGCATCTATTTTCCTAACACACAACCACATGATTATGCTACATAAGCGCACTACAATGTTTCCTGAGTCCCTGTACAGGTGGGTATGCTAGAGACAGGCTACTCTGCCTACTCTGCTTATGCACATGTCTTACTAGTCCCAGGCTCATGGGCTCAATCAGACATCAAGCTAAGCCATGGTCAAGGTAAACTGGGTGTTATATGCTATATGTGTTGTGTGTGTGTGTGTGTGTGTGTGTGTGTATCACTGCAATGTGGGGACCTCTAGATGTTTTGGGCTACAACTCCCATCAGCCCCAGCCAGCATCTGCAATGGTCAGGTATAGAGACTGCCACATCAAATTTGATTGTAGCTTATTGTCACCCTGGACCTTTACTGCTGATAGTATGGATATCCAGCTATACAATTCCTATACCCTTTGGAAGTGAGGGGAAAGTGTCATGAATGCTTCCTTGAGCTCCTAAAAGGAGAGGCAGGCTATAAATGCAATAAATGAATGAAGAAATAATTGAGATGCTTGGAAGCTTGGATGATAAAAGCCGCTGACTAATGGAAACCTGGAATTCTATCACTAGCAGCAATCCCATTAAAGTTCTAGAAGAGAAGCAGCCAACATGCTGTCCTCAGCACCAGCCAGCATGGCCAATGGTCAGGGATGATGTGAATTTGCCCACAACATCTGGAGGGCACTACATTGGTATCCTTCTTCCACAATATGTTCCTATATACACATGAGGAAGTTCACAGAAGAGCACTGAGATTATGTGTCATCTTAAAAGAACCCACCAGGCACCTGCTTTGGGGCAGAGTATTGACTCTTCTTCATCTATTGTTGGTTAGGGAATATGTGGGGAACCTTTGGCTCTCCAGCTGCTCCCTTGCCATGCTTTGCTGGAGCTGATGGGAGTTTTAGATCAGCAACTTCTGGAGGGCACAGGTTCCCCACACCTGTATCATACTAAGTGTTCTGATTTTCCAGGGACAGTCCTGAAATTATGGAAATTATGGAAGCTATCTCAGTTTCTGATTTTATCCCAGAATGTTCTGCTTTTCCTTTTTCCTCCCCTTCACATCTCGGTGAACAATTAAAAATGGTGTGTGTGTGTGTGCGCGCGCAGGTGCTGGTGCTGGTGCAAAAACGGAGCCCTGTTTATACTGAAAATAAAATCCCTGCACCAAATAGAGAAGCTGGCATATGAAGCCCTTCCTATAATTTTGAAAGAAAATATGACCAATCCACTTTACATTCTTTAATTGCAATGCTTCCGCAGCCAACCATTTTTAAGGAAATGCGGGGAGTATTTAATCCTTTATTGTAAATTGAGCCTTCCCCTGGTTACTCAGAAGGAAGTCTCGCTGTATTTAATGGGGCTTACCTTCAGGTAACTGGGTCATTTTATTTATTTATTTATTTATTTATTTATTTGTTTGTTTGTTTGTTTGTTGTTGTTGTTGTTGTTGTTGTTGTTCTTTTCCTGCCTTTTTCCCTGACAGGAACTCAAGGCAGCTTACAGCTAAAATTTATTGATGACCAATAAATGCAGGAGATCAAATGCGGAAAAAGCATAGAAGAAGATGTTCCTATTTTCATTTGAGAAATGTTGCAGGGTATGCTGTATCAGAGGCACACCCATATGATAAATGATTCACTTTGATTTTAATCTCTGCTGGGCAGATGTCAGTCTTCCTCAGCAATATTTCGACAGCCATAGGAATACTCACTTTAAAAAATGGCTCCTGTTAACATCTACCCAATTCTTAATGTACACTAGAAAATAAGAAATTTACAGATTTTCTCCAAGGAGAGTTACAAGCAGTGAATCAAATCTATCACGTCACACCCATAATGACAGCAGATGTCAACTAGGATCAAACCATTGCAATCTGCCAATTTTATCATCTGATTTATATAATTTAATTCATACCTACATTTTGCATCAAAGGGCCAAGCAATTCTTTTGAATATAAGCAAGAATTCATACGTCTGAGTGACATTTCAGTCTCATTTGAGTTCAGAGTAACAAGCAGCAACTTCAAACTCTTTCCAACACTCTCACATGTTCACACTTTGTCAGAAATCCTTCATAAGTGAATATTAATTTGTTTTACGTTACCGTAAGAGGTAAATAAGACATCTTTTATTTATCCTATCCTCAAAGGAACTCCAAGTATCGTATTTTAAATCCTGTGAGGTAGGTCAGACAGAGAGACAATGTCTACCTAAGGTTAGTGAACACTGTACCTGAGGAAGGATTTGTACCCCTAGCCCAACACTTTATCCATTACATCTCACTGCTACCAGTTAGTCTCAGCAAGACCAAATATGCATGCTGGAGCCAATTAAAAAGCCATGTTCTCAAACTTGAACTTACCATCTTCATCAATATTGGTTAAGGGCCTTAAATGCTTGACCACATTGCTCTAAGCACAGATAATGCAAGTACAGTAGGGAATGCTTTCATTAATCAGCAGCACTCCCCTTCCCACAACAGACCTGACTGCATGGGGGTGGGGGTGCTCTTGCAGCTGACAAGTCTATTTTGTGAAACAGCAGCTGTGTTTTGGCTTGGTGGGCACTTGGATAAGCACCCCTATCATTACTTGACATGTCTGTCTGCTCTGCTCTTGGGAAGGATTCTTGTTTATTTCAGAGAGCTCGTTTTCAAAGTAACACAGCAGGCAGACAGGCAGCAAGAGAGAATGAGGTGCCAGCAAATAAACCTACTGACCTGAATTTTCTGCTGGAGGATAGCTTGACAGAGAAAGCAGAATCTGAGGAAAATTATTTACTCTGCTACAGCCAAACCTTGGCTGTCAAATGTAATTCGTTCCGGAAGCCCGTTCGGCTTCAGAAACGTTCGACAACCGAGGCACGGCTTCCCATGGGATGCAAGAGCTTCCTGCCCTCAAGCTGAAGCCACGCCAGACATTCAGCTTCCAAAAAGTTCAAAAACTGGAGCATTTCCCTCCGGGTTTTCACTGTTCGGGAGCCGAAACGTTCGAAAACAGAGCCATTTGGGAACTGAGGTTTGACTGTACCAGCCCACTTTGTGCCTTTCCTCATCTCTAAAGGCTTAGGTTATTCTGTTAAGTTATTTAAAGTATTCTACCCCATTTAAATATTCTACCCCATCTTCCAACCAAGCTTCTCCCTGAGTATTTATTTAAATATATGCTCTGGCCTTTTTACGATACGATAATCTTTATTGTCATTGTCCCATACAGAACAACGAAACTGAAAATCTACATAAGACATTCAGAAACCAACAAGCCTGCTATCCCAGCTATCCCAGCCTGGTTAACCCCCTAAAAACTCTGATACACCATAATTAAATACCGTGGTACCTCGGGTTACAGACGCTTCAGGTTACAGACGCTTCAGGTTACAGACTCCGCTAACCCAGAAATAGTATCTCGGGTTAAGAACTTTGCTTCAGGATGAGAACAAAAATCGTGCTCCGGTGGCGCAGCAGCAGTGGGAAGCCCCATTAGCTAAAGTGGTGCTTCAGGTTAAGAACAGTTTCAGGTTAAGAATGGACTTCCAGAGCGAATTAAGTTCTTAACCCGAGGTACCACTGTACAATATACTCCCATAGAGACTACCTTAGGTAAAGGACCATTAGGTCCAGTTGTGGCCGACTCTGGGGTTGCGGCGCTCATCTCGCTTTATTGGCCAAGGGATCCGGCGTACAGCTTCCGGGTCATGTGGCCAGCATGACTAAGCCGCTTCTGGCGAACCAGAGCAGCGCATGGAAACGCCGTTTACCTTCCCGCCAGAGCGGTACCTATTTATCTACTTGCACTTTGACGTGCTTTCGAACTGCTAGGTTGGCAGGAGCAGGAACCGAGCAACGGGAGCTCACCTCGTCGTGGGCATTTGAATTGCCAACCTTCTGATCTGCAAGTCCTAGGCTCTGTGGTTTAACCCACAGCACCACCTGCGTCCCAGAGACTACCTTACACTGCATTTAAAACCAAAAGAAGAGAAACTGTTTCTCAGGCCTAGTCTTTATAACCCTGTACCTTCTTCCAGAAGGCAGAAGCTGAAAGAGATCATTTCCGGGGTGCGCTCCTACATGCTCCCCAAAATGCTAGAATTTAGCAGAGAATTCATAATCATTATTTTTTTAAAAAAAGTAAACTAGCTTTTTAAGAACAATTTAAAACTAATAAATCAGTTTACTGCTTAACCCAGCTCTGGAACTATCACCCATCATATGCTGTGGGGGGTATTGTTTTTGTTATTATGGTGTGTATTTTTGTGTTTTTATATTGTAAAATGCCCTGCAATCTTCGAATGAAGGAAGGTAATAATAATAATAATTGTAGCTCAGATAAATTTTTTTGCACTGGATCACACAGCCCTGAAAAGCAGTGGGTGTGACTGACTGCAAAAGGCGATTTCAGCTCAGCACACACATCACAACGTCAGCCGACGGCAGGTTAAGCAAAAAATGACTCCCAAGCATATGCCCCAAAGAGCTCCTAAGTGCTCTGTGCCAAAAGACTATAGCTGTCATAGGCAAATACTCCAGCAATTCGGCTTTTAAAAATCCCTTAACTGGGATTTACATGATGCATCCCCGAACATGGAAAGAAGCAATCATACCACTTCAAATAAAGTCCTCCCATTTAATATATTCTTCTGAGCTTTTCTTAATAAACTGTATCCCTGTTCCTGATCTCACTCTTCCCTCCCCCCTTAATTAAGATTTCAGAATCTTCACTTACAGAGTCATATTTGTTGGGATACTGCCAGGGAGACAAAGTCCATCATGACTCCACATCGCCTCCGGACGTCCATCGATCTCCCGTAGATACAGTATCAGCAATTAGCGACACGAGGTCCAGAAATAGCTTGCCACATTCCAGAGCTCATGCACGCTCTGTCAGCAGAATTCACACAGTGAAAGATGCACGCAGGAGAGCATTATTTACAAGTTTATTCAGCGTTGGTCAGAACAAAGAAAACATGACTGCCTGCTTCGGTGTCTCAGGCACAGAGAGAGAAACGAAAGCAATAGACAAAACATAAACTTCCTGTGAACAGGAAATACGCAGACTCTGTGACTCTGTGACTCACAAAGCCTGCTCCCTTTTAAGGTGGAACGGAAATATCCTAACATCCTCCCCCTTTCCGTGTAACCTGTAGTACCTGTGTTTCAACCCAATTGCAACCTCTGTACATAAACCTTAAGTTGTTATCTGTTAACAACCTTAGACAACAGATCAGCAGGAATTTCATTTCCTGGCATGTAGGACACCTGAATGAGTCCTTTCTGAATACATTCTCTTGCACGATGTAGCTTAATCTGCAAGTACTTGGTTCTTTGCTTGCAACTCTCTGAGTTCAGCAAAGCCAAACAGGATCTATTGTCTTGATACACTTGTATAGGACATTTCACAGAAACTCTGATGTCCTTAAATAGTTGCATCAACCATTCACAATCCTTGAGTGAAAATGACAGAGCATTGAGTTCTGCTTCACAGGAACTTAGGCTCACTGTCGTCTGCTTCTTGCACAGCCAGTCAAACAGACAGTGGTTGTACATGTAGCATACTCCAGAGCAAATTCCTCCTAGTCAGAAGAATTGCGCCATTACCGATGGCGCTGACTCCGGAAGTCCACTCTTTGTGAACTTAATGGACTTAGAATCAGCATTAGACACAACAGCACCATTGTCATCATAAGTTATACAGAACAATCCATCTATAAACTTTGCATGCAAAATGTCCTCTTTGCCTTTCCTGATGACACAGACGCTCCTCTTGAAGGAAATCTCAAAACCACGCCCAGTCAGCTGTGGAAGACTGAGCAAATTGTCTGCAGCACCTGGAACATAAAGTACATCTTTGATGGTTGTATGCAGACTTGCCAGTTTCACAGTCCCAACTCCTGCGATTCACAACGTCTTTCCATCTGCCTGGTGGATCTCTCCATCTTGAGGCGTGAAGGAGATAAACAGATGCTTATCTTTTGCCAGATGGCGGGTGCATCCCGAATCAACAATAAATCTGGCTTTGGCCTTTGGAGCAGCTTTTACAGCAAGCAAAACCTTGTTTTCCACCGGCGTGGGCTTTTGCTGCTTGCCCCCCTGCTCCTGGCCATCAGACTTGCCTTTAGCCTTTGGAGAAGCAGTGCCAGCAAACAAAGCCTTGTTTTTCCCTGGCGTGGGCTTTCCAACCCCCCTCTGCTTCTGGCCATCTGCAGGCATCTGTCTCTGTTTACTTCTGGCCTTCCGGCCTCTGCAAATATGACCTTGGCTCTCATGGGAATCAGAGCTCTCAGCTGCCGATTCCTTGGCTCCCCCGGAGGCTGGAATGCTGCCTGGGATGACATCACAGTCAGCTCCCCCTGCAGCTTGCAACCGGTGCCCTCGGCATCCCTGCATTCACTCGCATTCTGGGAAACAGCCAGGACCTCCGATGCAGTCAAACTCTGGGCTGGGATGACTGGCAGATGGGCTATCTTCAAAGCATTCCACATCTGACGTGCAGTTGTGTTGCCAGCTAGCGTGGCAATTTCCTCCAGAGAGACGGATAAGACAATTACGTCTATGACCCTTGAATCTTGGGCCCTCCATCTATCTGTCAGAGGAACTGGAGGGGCTTCACACACAGTATGCCACACTCCAAACTGTCATAGTAGACTTTCACACCATTTTGCCCAGGTCTCATAATTGTGCCGATTTAACTTTGGGCACTCAGCAGCTTCAGAAGCTTGTAAAATCTCCATTCCAGCTCTTCACTTGAGCCGTGAGCCTTATTCACTTCAGAGACTCCTTATCTTGGCTACTCATAAATCTTGAGGCCTGCTTGGCTCGACTCCCAGGCCAATTAGCCGGCCGGAGTTCAAAGAGACTTTGCCGCGGCAACGAAAAGCCTTGACTTTTCCACACATACCTCAGCAATCTGTCGCAGTCTTACTCTCCTGTAAGTGCCGTGAATCTGGGCCCATAACCTGTTGTTGGGATACTGCCAGGGAGACAAAGTCCATCATGACTCCACGTCGCCTCCGGACGTCCATCGATCTCCCGTAGATACAGTATCAGCAATTAGCGACACGAGGTCCAGAAATAGCTTGCCACACTTCCGGAGGCGGCGCCAGCGGTTGATGGCGGATTTCCTCGACTAGAGGAAATAGCGCCACGAAAATAAGGGTCGGATCCCGCTTCGGCGCAGCGGGAGACCCTCAAAAATCACAGGCGGGGGAAGCCTGTGAGCCTGGGACCCAGCGGGCACATTTGGCGCCCCCCCCAACCCGGTAAAAAGCCCGGCAACGGGCTTGGAAGCGGAGCAGGGGAGAGCGCTGTGCTGTGGGCTGTCTGCTCGTTCGTGGTGTGAAGCCACAAGCTGTTGACCGGAGAGCGCTGCCTTTTTTCCTTGAAATTCGGACTTGAAATCAACGATCCGTGAGTAGGATATAATTTAATTGGAACTGTACAAATTAGAATCTGGCCGAAAACGGAAAGAGGTATAAAAGGAAGTCTGCCTCTTTCCTTGTAGATAAAATAAAGCATTGAACTTGAAAGCGGAAGCATTGGAAAAGCACGTATAGTGGACTTTAATCCAACCATCCAACCTGGACTTTTCCCTCCTTAAACTGAGGGGAAAGGGGGGGAAATTGTGGATGTGATTTCTTCATAAAGAAGTGGAATAGAAGGGATTAAACCATCATTCAATTCCCTGGGAAAGGATCTCCAGAGGCAACTTAGGAAAGAAAGAGAGGTACTGTCTTGCAATATATTTTGACAGCTAGTCCTGCACAGGAAATAAAAGTCTGGACATACTATGTGAATATATATCTCCTGGTCCTAAGTTAATATTTTGTATAGACTGTTTTCTTCCTGAATAAACTGGAGGGGCTTAAAAAAGAAACTAAAGTATCCAAGAACTTTTATGACTGTTACAGTGTCCCCCTAGTGGAATTTGGAATTGTTACAACTTGTTATAATTGAAACTGTAGCTGGCTTGAGGAATTCTCACACTGCTTGGCTGGAAATTTCCACTGTTTGATTTTAACTACGTGACTGACCTTGAGCATTATCTAAAGGAATGGCAGATGGTAAAGAGAAAGCGGATGCATCGACTACAAGATCGGGGAGGACTATTCGCACAGAAGAAGGATTACAAAGGAGATCTTCGGCCTCAGGCCCTTCTGGAACCTCAACAACAGCCTCATCGGCACAACTAAAAGTAAAAGGTACGACAAGTGATGATGCCTTTGCTCTAGTTTTGGCCAAGGTCAATGAATCTTTAAACAGAATAAGTCAACAAGTAGCAGAGGCATGTGACAAGATTGATCACGGTCCTGGAGGTTTTGCTGAATATGATTAGAAGGGACCAGTTGGTTAAAGGTATACAGGTCGGAATTAAACAATACAAATTGAGAGCATTCGCAGATGACTTAGTATTGACGTTACAGGAGCCAGAATCTAGTACTAAAAGGGTTTTAGAACTGATTCAAGAATTTGGTCAAGTGGCAGGATTTAAATTGAATAAGTCAAAAACCAAGGTTTTAGAGAAAAATTTAACACCGATTGAAAGAGAGAGGTTTCAGAATGAGACAGGTTTAACAGTGGTTAAGAAAGTTAAATATTTGGGGATTAACATGACAGCAAAAAATGGGAACTTATTTAAAGATAACTATGAAAAATGCTGGTCTGAAGTGAAAAAAGATCTAGAAATTTGGTCAAATTTGAAGCTTTCACTGCTGGGCCGTATTGCTGCGATAAAAATGAATGTATTGCCTAGAATGTTGTTTTTGTTCCAAACTTTGCAGATTGTGGACAAAATGGATTGTTTCAAGAGGTGGCAGAAAGATATTTCTAAATTTGTCTGGCAGGGCAAGAAGCCCAGAATAAAATTTAAAATACTAACAGATGCAAAGGAAAGAGGTGGATTTGCCCTGCCAGACCTTAAACTTTATTATGAATCAGCAGCTTTTTGCTGGTTGAAAGAATGGCTACTCCTTGAAAACACTGACATTTTGGATTTGGAAGGTTTTAATAATGTATTTGGATGGCATGCATATCTATGGTATGATAAGGTCAAAGCACATAGAGCATTTAGAAACCACATTGTCAGGAAAGCGCTATTTAATGTTTGGTTAAGATATAAGGATTTGTTAGAAAACAAAACCCCAAGGTGGCTGTCACCAATGGAAGCGAAAGCCTTGAAAAAGGTCAATATGGAGGTCAAATGGCCGAAATATTGGGAAATTTTGGAACAAGACGGAGATAGATTGAAATTGCAGAGTTTTGAAAAACTAAAAAACAAAGTGCGAGACTGGCTTCATTATTATCAGATAATGGAAGTATTTAAATTGGACAGGAAAATTGGCTTCCAGGTGGAAAGATCCAAATTAGAAACAGAATTGTTAGAACCCAAGACTAAGAATTTGTCAAGAATGTATAACTTGCTGCTGAAATGGAATACTCAGGATGAAACGGTAAAATCGGCTATGATTAAATGGGCACAGGACGTTGGACATAACATTATGTTTGCTGACTGGGAACAGTTATGGACCACAGGTATGAAATTTACGGCATGTAATGCCTTAAGAGAGAATATTATGAAAATGATATACAGGTGGTACATAACCCCAGTCAAGCTTGCGAAAATCTATCACTTGCCCGATAACAAATGTTGGAAATGTAAAGAAACTGAAGGTACATTTTTTCATCTTTGGTGGACGTGCCCAAAGATTAAGGCTTTCTGGGAAATGATATATAATGAATTAAAAAGGTATTTAAGTATACCTTCCCTAAGAAACCAGAGGCCTTTCTCCTGGGCATAGTCGGCCAAATGGTGTTAAAAAGGATAGAACTTTCTTTATGTATGCAACAACAGCAGCAAGAATACTCATCGCAAAGTATTGGAAGACACAAGAACTTCCCACGCTGGAGGAATGGCAGATGAAACTTATGGACTATATGGAATTGGCGGAAATGACTGGTAGAATCCGTGACCAGGGAGAAGAGTTGATGGAGGAAGATTGGAAGAAATTCAAAGACTATCTTCAGAAACATTGCAAAATTAAGGAATGTTAGAGTGATGTTGGACTGAAAACAAGAGGTTTCCAGCTGTACAGGTTAAAGTTAATGATAGACTAAGATTAAAGATTAAGATTAAAGATGTTTAAAGAAATGGAAATTTGATATTAAGAGGGAAAATTTTAATGGTATATGATATTAGGACCAAGGATTAGGTTTAAAGAAGTTGAAGTTATATATTTTAATATCTTATCAAATTAAAGATTGGGATTAAAAAAGTGGAAAAGAAACTGCTGGACAAATAATTTGGGTTGGAATACAAATGAGGGAGGTATGAGGAAGTCCAGAAAATAAGCAACTAAAAAGCGGAAATGAAACAGAGATATGGTTTTTAATTGTTATGTTTCTTGTATTTTTATTGTTGAATCTTACTTTTGTTTTTTTGTTTTTTGTTATATGTATTGTGTATGTTTTTCTTTTATTTCTTTGTTGTTTAGAACTTTAATAAAAATTATTTTAAAAAAAAGAAAGAAAGAAATAGCTTGCCACATTCCAGAGCTCATGCACGCTCTATCAGCAGAATTCACACAGCGAAAGATGCACGCAGGAGAGCATTATTTACAAGTTTATTCAGCGTTGGCCAGAACAAAGAAAACATGACTGCCTGCTTCGGTGTCTCAGGCACAGAGAGAGAAACGAAAGCAATAGACAAAACATAAACTTCCTGTGAACAGGAAATACACAGACTCTGTGACTCACAAAGCCTGCTCCCTTTTAAGGTGGAACGGAAATATCCTAACAATATTACCCCTCCTTAAGAATAGTCCTCAGAGGAGAACAAAGTGCACAGAGTTTTCTTGTTAATTCAACTATTAAAACTGGGCAAGGGTAAAGAGTTGAGCGTGCCCATGTTTATACTATTCATGTTTATTGCTCCAGCCCTGGCTCAGCTTCAAGGATTGCTTAGGTTATATATTAGGTAGTACTCTAGCAATCTGGATGTGTTCGTTGTATTCCCATTCACTTTAGCCCACACATTATCAATGGTTTATTCAATAGCGTACCTTCATCCATGCATTTATATAAACATCACCTCATCACATTTTCAGCTCACTTCTTGCACCTGATTGATCAAGCTGCTGTTGCCTAAGAAAACTCATGTCCCAATTTTTCAATTAGTATCCAAGATAAATTCACCTCACTCACCTTTTTCTTTTTTGCCATTAAAGGAGCCCAAGATATCATCAGAACCCCACAATAGGCAAGTCAAGATACCAGCGGAGTCAGGAATGTAACAAGGCTTTGTGTCTTATCCACAATAACTTTCTTCAGATCAGTTCAGTTGACGACCGACACCATGTCCTCTTTTCACAGACCATGTTACATTATGTAGTTTAATCAGTCCAAGCTGATTTTAGAGAATGTCACTTACATTACTAGGAAATAATAACATGACCTTTCTTATCCTTTTTGAAGAAGTTTCCATATCTATTCCTTAGAGATCATCAGAATACATGATTTTATTTTTTTTAACACAAACTGAAAAGAATAACAAGGGCTTTATCACACCATCGTGCAAAATGTGCCACAAGCAAGTCTGATGCTCCTGAAAGTATGTCATAGGTACTATATTATGCCATGCACACACATGACATAAGTGATGTGTTTTGCAACAAGGGAGACAGTCGTGCTACCAGGGTAATGTGAGACCTAGAACAGTGATTCTGTAGCAAACACAGGTTGCTCAGATCCTTGCTCAGATAGGTTAATAAAGTAATAAAAAACAGTAATGCTCCTGTGTTCACCCATATGCATTGTTAACACACTTTCAATGTTTGGACTGCAGGACAGAGAGAGAGAATGTAGAACTGCCAAGTAATTTGCAAAAAAAGGAGGGGGGAGGAATGAACGTTTTAAGCATGGTAAAGAGAAAAGAAACTAACCTAAAAGGGAAAAGGGAAGGATAATATATTAATGCTTGTTCAGTCTTGCTTTCAAGTGAGATGAAGTTTTTTTGTGCTTAAGGCTCAATACTTTAATCCACCTTGCGCCAAAATTCATTGCAAATTTGAAAAGTTAATAATGTTAAAAATGCACTTACTACTGAAACATAACAAATTATTATTAATGTACTGTATGTAAATGAACTGGAGAAGATTAGTGGGCACAAAACACAGGAAAAATATCTCTATAGAGATATGGGATAGTCACTGGAATAACTAATGAAATTCCCTGTCACAGAATGTGGCTAGAACAATGAGTCTTCCAAACACTGTCCATGGCTTTCTTTTAAAATTAAGGGATCCAGGTCCCAGGATGCTGCCTTTAATTTGACTAAAGGCCTTTCTTTTAACTTGCTGTCACCACAAACGCCTACCTTTGTCTTCAATTGGGAAACAATGGGAGTGCCCATAGCTCAGTGATTAATTTAGAAACACATGCGCTGCCAGCGCTCTGCCTTGCCCTGCAGCTGAGGTGGTCGAGGCCACACGATGCAAGAATGCCATGTGCATATGACATCAGCACGCCTCATGGCACACCACAGGGCATGCTGACATCATGCATGCATGCCGTGGAATTTTGAGGGGGACTGCCCCCCCTCCTTGAAAATTTTGGGGAGTCTCTGCCCCCTGCCCCCTTAGATGGCAACCACTACATGGTAACATGTGTTCTATCTGTAGGAGGAAGCCTTGAGTACCTTGACTGATACTTCTGAAGCAGGCTTATACTCCAACTAATCTGAATAATGTTTTGTCATCCAGCATGTAAAAGTTAATAGATCTGTCATCTGGATAAAGTCCAAAGTTCAACATACTGAAACTAATCACTGCGCTTTCCACAAACCAAAAGCTAATTCCCAAACTACCCAAATAAATGTGAGCATTATCCTCCTGTTGGACTTTTGCCTGCAGCATATGCAAAATGCATGTTGACATATATATAGTCAAAGTGATTCACTGGGAGTAAGGGAGAAGAGTGAAGAAAAACTTAAATGCCTTTTAACAATTCTCCAAACACAACCATGCAACAAGCCTCTTAATTTGCTTGGTAAAGTACTACATATGTAAAATTGCTTTTGGACAGCTTTGTTTTAACCAAATATCTTTGCTTCTGTTCTCATAGCTAAGTCGGTTTAAATAATTATTCCTGAATAGATTTCTGTATGCCAATTAAAATTATGCTTGAAGCTGACCAGTAGTGCTAAGTTGCTTATTAGCAGGACCTTCTTCAATTCAAGTGCAGATACAGCATAGAGTAGGAACTGGGCTTTAACCAGCCAGTGTCTCAAAATAAGCTTTGTACCACCCCAACCCCCAAGGGCAGAAAACTGGGAGACTGCTGCTATTAACTGATGTGCATTGGTGCCTAGTTTAAAAACTCGCCTTTGCAAGTTACACCTTCAAGCAGGGTGTCCCCACCGCAACACTGGAAATAAAATATATGCTGAACACTTGGATTCAAATAGTGTTTGCACCCCAAAAGAGCCTTTGGAACAACCCAAATCACAAGTCCCTTCAACCAGTTTGCTGCACTATGGGAGACTGGCTGCAATTGGACCCGTCACAGCAGATGATGGAAACAAACGTTTGTCAGAGTTGGAGCCCGCATGAGCACTTTGGCCTTTCCCACATGTTCACTGAGGTAGAAGTGATTGTTCCAGCCCTCACTTCACTCATTAATTATCATCTGAAACAAGAAGGTGTTTCATGTGTTTTCGTATGAGTCACAACTTAAAGCGAGGAGACTCATAAGAAAACATGTGCAAGCTTAGCTTTTCTTTTTTTTAAAAAAACCACAAATTGTCAGGAGGAACTCAAAACAGTTAGTCACTGCCATGATCTCAGAGGCCCTGAAAGCTTCTAATACAACAGCGCTAAGGGAAAGTGTTGCATCTTGTTGTCATGTCTTGAACCTGATTCCCAAGGAATTCTGCAGGCGAGATCCAGGGCAGCCCAGAGGACAGTGCGTGAATCTTAGGCATGGGTTCGGATCCTCAGTTCAGCTGAAGACAGTTAGATATATCACCTCAGCAGAGGCTACCACGTAGTTAGAGGCGCTGAACCTTTAACGCTCCAGAACAACTGTGTAGCAGACAGCGATCAACCATTTATTCACTGCCTCTCTATGCGTATGAAAGCTTTACCTGTTGATTTTTGCTTATTGCGCAACTGCTCACAGGACCAGCCTTCATGAACAACGTGGCACGTTTAGTTTTGGCTTCTCTCCCCTCCACCCACAAATAACCTCACAGAAAGGCTGTGGTTCTTAGTCTCAGTTGAGAACGCAAGACCCGTCGGATCAGGTGAGTGGCCCATCGAGTGCAGCATCCTGTTCTCACAGCAGCAAACCAGAAGGCCAAGGGAAGCAACCACACCTGCACTTCCCAGAGACTGGTATTCAGAGGGGTTGAACATAGCCAGCACAGCAACTAGCCATTGACCATCTTGGCTTCCAGTCTCTTAGTGCAGCTCCTCCAGCAAGCGCCAAAATGGTTCTCCAATCCAGGCCCCACATGGCGTTCTGGCCGGCCCAGCAGCTCACAGGCCTTTGTTCTCTTACTTCTTCTCAGCACCCATCTGCCCCCAAACCTCCTGTAAAAGACACCTTTTCCTGTCCTCTCACACTCTTCCCGGTCACCTTGGCAACCACTATCTGCCCAGGCCTAAGGATTCCTCTCTGATGTGGGCCAGTAACAAAGTGAGGCCCTGGCTTGGAAAGGAAGCCTAGCCTGTATTTTCCTACTGGCCTGGAACTAGATTCTGACATTCATAATTCCTTAGAAACCAATGATTTAAGAACTCGGACTGCTACCACATGGATTGACAGTCAAGCAGATTATAATTATAAACAAGTTGAAAATATATGTTCTCAAGTTCTACCCAGCTTCTCACTCTAACACTAAACGCAAATCATTGAAACAGTAAAACATACAAGTTTAATTCTTTTTGTTTGTTGGTGACACGTTCAAGAAGCAATGCCCTGAACTTTAATCTCTTTGACCATCCCACAATCCACATTGAGCTGTAGCTCAGGTAGTTAATACTGCTGTTATACCAGCAAAACAAGTGGCTCTAAATAGGGTTTTATCCAAAACAAAGGGGACACTTTTTGCAAATTTCTTTTGCCCTCTGTGAAAATGCCCCCTTTTTGATCATGGAAACTTGAACAGGAATTAAGGTGTTTATGGATTCAGAGTGAGGGCAACATCATACAGAGAGAATTGCCTTCTCTTTGAACTGGCTTTGTTTGCCCTAAGTGATGTCATTGTACAGCCAAATCTGACTGCTTATATGATTATTTCACTTTTCCCAGAATAAAGATTGAGGTAAATCCAAAATGATGGTATCAAAGTAGCAATCAACTGGGGACAAAAAAAGCTGCGACAAGCCCTCATAGCTCATTCTCTCAATGTCATATGAAGCATGCATGGTGGTTAAGAGAATGAGATATAAACCAAAAGACCCCCATCTGAACACATTCTCAGCCTGTCTGTAATACAGAATAAAAATACTGTCTGACTTTAAAGAGCAGTTGAGGGTATTAGCACAAGTAAGCTATAAACTGAGATGATGTTTGTAAAACAGTAACTTAAAGCATAATTACTCATGTCCAAAAATAAAGGCTTTTTGTGATCAATTTCCCACTTTGGGGGAGATTTTGGAAGCATATGTGCAAAAAAAGGACAGAATCATATCTGGCCATTTCATTTTAAGGAGTATCACGTGAGCTTTAATGTAGAACAGAAAGTGGAAATCTGTTCTGGAACAACAAAACAAAACAAAATAAAGACCAAGGTGGTACAGAGTCATCTGTGATGCCAGTGTAGGAAGGCTGAATGTTATTTAGCAGGTTTGTATCTTTTCTTAATATGAACTGAGTCCAAACTAATAAGGCCATTTTGAACCAGAACACTAAGATGACAATACATAAGGGCTGTCAAGAGGATATCTTTTTCTCTGAGCAAACTCAAGAAAGGTCTGTCCAATGACTCCTCAACCTCTTCCCCCTGTCGCAAAGACCTAAAATTGACCAGCCCATTGATTTCCTACATGATTTCATACTGGCTTCGCCATGTGTTCAGATATCTATATGACACATGTTGATTAGCATAGTATCAGGTACGTAGTTTTGTATAAAACACACACACACAAAAATTAGGAACAAAAACATTCTCAAAAGCCTTATTTTTTACCCAGACCTTTTGATATTAATTTTCTGCTCATCTTTTAGTGTGGTGGGAGGTACAGTTGGACCTACTTGTATATTTTAGGTTGTTTTACCCTTATTTTTAATGTTCATATTTATAAGTTGCTTTGAGATTCATTTTTTAATCAACTAAGTAATAATGATAATAGGAGGAGGAGGAGTACACGGCACATACAGGAAATTCATCCTCCTTTTTTAGCAAAAGGGCCTAAGGTTAAATCCTGAGCTTACCAGTGGAATTCTGCAGTGTGATAACTGTTGGGGCTGCAGAAATAGATGGCTGCAAAATAGGCTGGAAATGTCTGGTCATTCAGCTGTATGAGCAGCAGGATAAATTGCCCTCACTCAAATCTGGCTTTGTGACATTGACACCTAGACAAATTTAACTGGCTATGAGATGAGATGATACCATCAGACTGCTACCTGATTGTTGATGGGCCAGGATATTTTAAAAGTACGTTTTTAAAAATTCTGCTGCAGCTGGTTGTGAACAGTGTGTAAAAATGGTGTTTTCATGGACCTTTTCCCCACCACTCCCCACTTTCACTCTGAAAAAAATTTACAGGTGAATTTTTTGTGCAGCCGTACTTATCGATTGTCCACATCTGATGAAATGGGAGAAGCTGCTCCAAAGGAGAACAATGTACAAATACAATACAAGAAATCTGTATGGTTGTCTATTGCTCTCATCAATTGCACTGAGAGCTGAAGCCGACGAAGGCTAAACAGGCTGATCTATGCCATTTTGAGTAATCTGATTATAACATACAGGAATACAAATAAATAGCCTAAATCTAATTTTATAAACTGTTCCACATTTCCTTTATTATATTAAACCTGCAATGGAAATAGAGCAACACATTCCCACTTCTCAGTGTCAATGGCCCAAATTCCTCCCTGGTGGATGTGTTTTCACTGAGGCTTATTGATTTCCTTTATGAATCAATTTAAGCCAGTCCAAACCATTTTTTTAAACTTATAATTTATTGTTTCACATGTATCTTGCCTGTAGAGCTCTTAAGACCATAGACTATGGATGGAGTTCAACTGAGCGAGCCAAAACCCTTGGGGGGAGGCAATAGAGGGAACTGCCCCAAACATGATGGGACCCACATTAACACTGATTAAGAGTACACTCCAAGGGCAAGAGAGAAGGAAGGGGTGACTTGGTAGCTCAATGAAAGTCAGCCCCCAAGCCCTCTAGAGTTTTTAAAAAAGAACCTACTGAGAGTGAGTTCTAGGGGGCAAGACTTCTTACACTCATTACTGTCATCTTGTTAGTAGCAATAAGGCTACTAACTGATTGCAAACACTCAAGTCACCTGTTCCCACAGGAAATAATGAAATGAACACAACATAAAACAATTAATGGTTTTTTTCATTAAAAAAAATCGAGTAGTAACCAAAAACAATCAGCTTGAAATATGTACAGTAATATCATGACTTCCCACCTGCAGCAGACATGAGATACAACATGCAACAGGAGCAACACGGTTCTCATTTTCTATTAGATCAATATTTATCGCATGCTTATAGTTGATCCCTATTAGAATATGTGCATAGCTTTACTTCTGACTAGTTTTCTTGTATGGATGCCGACAAACAGATTTACCCTCTATTTGTCCACAAGATCAGCAGCTTTTGCTAAAACCTTTCATGTCTAGAATTGGTTGTTTCTGTAACACAAGGGAGAATTGCAAGGTTAATCATCATTGCAATAGATATCCTAAAAAGCAGTAAGTGCCATAGGATCTGCTGTTGCATGGCCTGACATCATTATTTATCTGTCCCCCACCCCCCCTGCTAAAAGCCTAGTGGAGACTTTTACGCCTCCTTTGCCAGTGCTGCAGCAAAAACTTGCATGATGTCATCAAGTGCAACCAGTAAACAGTAGCAGTCCCTGAATCACAAGTTTGGAACTCCTTTGGAATGAATCCCGGCAGAAACTGCTGTTGCAGCTTGTTGCTTGGGGATGGTGCAGGGTAAAATTTTAAAATGTGAAGATAAATCATTGGTGTTCAGCCTTTGACAAATGGATGAGAACTTCAGGCACATTCCTAATTCATGCCTTTCCAGTGTCGAAAAATATAACAAATAAAAATGTTTGTAGAGTTCTCTGGTGGGGGACGTCAACACCCAAAACAAATAGGGAATATTTCTGAGGCATTTTAAATTCCCACACCAGCCAAGCACCTGCCCACAAAAGCCAGACAACAAGTGTAGGGGTTGTAGAGCCAATAGGAGCAATATATATTTAAAGCTATCTATTTTTATTTTTATTTTGAAGATAGGGTAAATTATTGAAAATATAATACTGTAGTGGGTTACTTTTTGTCCTGTGGGTTTTGTTGGTAACTTTCCTATGTAGTTTAGATTGTTTGGCAAATGGAAATCAATTTTTAGAAAGCCAGGTTTAGAAATAATGCTAGATTGCCTGGGTGAGAATGAGCATATGACAAAACAAAACCCTAAATTGCTATGGTTCCGCAGCCATAGTAGCAAAATGTGTATGAGCTACTAGCTAGAATTCCTTGATTTAAATCTTATCTCAGCCTGCACTGGGTGGATTTAAGAAAGCTAAACTTCACCTACCCAACTGACATTTGAGAATAATAATTTTGGTCTGGCCCAAGACAAGGAGTAGGATTTTGATTTGAGAGAGCTAAGTCCAACTGCCTTAATGTGGCTCTGCTCTCTGTTTTCATTTCAGTCAGCAGGTGAGAGGATTCAATGTCTAAATGGTTCCACATACTAAAAAAGAAAAGAAAAACAATGCTCCCTCTACATGTCAGACCTCTACATGTCATACCTAGCATGTCAGAGAGGGGCAGGTTAGGCCTCCCCTCTATCTACATGGCTAAGATTAGAATTTGGAGGAAAACCTATGTTTATCTTATTACCAATTCAAAGACTGGTGCTGAACCCACTGTGCTTTTCACCTTATTCCTTCCTAGTACTCTTTGCTTCTCACCCTCTGTCTCATCTTTGGGTCAGAATAATAATTATTTTTTGCTCATCTCAGCAGATGATAGTGGGGAATGAGATGGGGTTTCCAGTAAGAAATATGGCAGAAGATATAGCTTCTATGAGCCTAGCAGCAGCCACCTCCTCTGCATTTTATTTATTTATTGCAAATATTTATAAGTCACAGCCAAAATGTGGAACACCAGAACCAACTTTTCCCTGTAGAAGCAACTACGTAAAATCAATACTATGAAGAAGACAAACGGTAGCTCGGACACAGTAAGGGGATGCACCTCATCCCTCCCCAAAGGAATGGACAAAAAGGTGCCAATTCACCTGTTGATGCAAGAACAGTAATGTTGGGGCATGATGCATCTCAGACAAGGAGGTACTAGCAATAGTAGAGGTAGACTTACAATGGCAGCTCTACCTGGGGCACCTTTTTAAAACAAACAAACAAACACAACAACAACCTCATTGTGCTGTAAAGCACTTTGGAAATGTAAAGCTGTGTCATTAACACAGACAGTTTTTCTGGGTCATGTGGCCAGCATGACTAAGCCGCTTCTGGCAAACCAGAGCAGTGCACGGAAACGTTGTTTACCTTCCCGCCGGAGCGGTACCTATTTATCTACTTGCACTTTGACGTGCTTTCGAACTGCTAGGTTGGCAGGAGCTGGGACCAAACAACGGGAGCTCACCCCATCGCGGGGATTCGAACCGCCAACCTTCCGATCAGCAAGTCCTAGGCTCTGTGGTTTAGACCACAGCACCACCCGCGTCCCTTAACAAACAGTAGCAGAAGTCATATAGTCAAAATCTAGTTCCATGCAATCAAGCCAGTGGTAATGCCTCACCCATGATTTGCCTTGGAATGACACCTCCACCTCTATTTTCTTTGGCTCCAAAGAAACGATCAAGGCAGGATGAACAACAGCTCCAACTTAGCGATCTTTGGCAGTGCTCAGGACCTCTTCTGGTTGCTCTGCCTGAATGAACTCCAATCTGCCTGCTCTTTGCCTTTAGCTGTACCCCTGATCAAAGAATGCTACCAATGTCCCAGCATGCAACTATCCAATGGGGAAGCATTAACTCAGAAAAAGTAAAACATAACTTAGGACATTCAGCTATAGCTTCCGAGCAGCCATTTGTCATTATCATGGAAGCACATTTTCAGCTGTCAGCATCACAATAGCTGTCACTTCATCTACTGAGGGCCTGAGTTGCATGTTGTTATTGTTTATGATTACATTTATTCATTACTCATGACACAAAACATTTCAAAGCAACTTACAACGTTAAGTTGTTACATTTATGGTATGTTATCTTTATGGGGCAAAATCATCTGGGGGGACACTTGAGATGTCTTGCATGGAGGAATATTTCAACTGTGTGTGAAATGTCCCTTACTTTTCAAGCATTAGAGTGCCAGTTTTCTAAACAATTCTTTGAAGAATGGAACTTACAAAAAAGCATAGCTAGCCATACTTTCCATTGATCATGCTGGCTAGATTTTCAAGAAAGAAGAGACTTTTAAGGTCAACAATTCAAAGGCGTCACAGTAAATATTACCAAATGAAGAGTCCAGTTTGAGCCCCTCAGAGCAAAGATACAAGCTACATGCAACTAATGTGGATTCCTGCAGCCCAAGTTGACCTCTTTAAAGAGGAAATAGTGGCTTCTGGAGTGGGTGATCAGGAGGAGAGAGGTAGCAGGTGAACCTCCCAGTCCAATCATTCTCCCAAGTGGCACCCCACATCACAGAGCTTCAAATGCTTGTGGAAGAGCCTCTTTTTCTATCAACAGTAGAGGAACTATATCATGTTTCTGTGAGTGGTGGCAGGCCATTAGACCTCAGCAAACAAGATTATTAGCCAGATTTAAAAGCCAACACTGAAATACATGCAATATTAAATGGCAAAAGAACTGCATGGAACAACAAAGAGCATTTTATGTGTACTTAACTTTTTATATCTCATAAGATCTTGTGATAACGTCTCTCCACTTTGTTCAGCAGAAGGATTTGCACCTGTAACTTCCATACCTCGTACCTATACCCATTTTATTGTGCATAATAATCGTGGGGTTGCCATGTTTCAACAGGTGAAAATCTGGACACAAAAGTTGTTGGCCTTTTTTTGTTTTGTCCATTGGCCAAAGTTGTTGAGCTATTTTTAAGGAAATTTGCCAAAATCTGACAAAGAGATCTAAGTGAGCAAAGGGTACAATCCACACGTGGTCTGAAACATGAACTGGCCTTAATGGCAGAAGGTCCCCAGCATCTCAAAGGAGAGAGCAACTCATGTGTGGAGAAGGGAGATCGTTACATGGCAGAGCACATGGTCTGCAGGAAGAAGGGGCCCAGATTGCAGGTCCTGGGAAAGGCCTCTGCCAGAGATCCTGCAGAGCTGATGCCATTCAGGGGAGACCATAGTAAGCAATGTCTGATTCACTATAAAGCAGCTTCCCGTGTTCATATTCTTTTAAAAAACTAGGTAAACGTAAAGATGACAAGGTGCTGCAATTAAGGCAACAAATAGCAGAGGAAAATGAACACAAAGAGCAGAATGTGCGTTTGAAGCCTAGTTGCATTTTGATCTCTCCTAAATATATAGTTGACATTGGGGGGAGGTAATTAGTATATAAAACAATACGATAGATTCAGATTCAGGCAGACAACAGTTAAGAACTTAACATGTGAAGCACACAGACGGGCATGCAGACACACAACACACATACATTGAACACACAAACACGTGCATGCCATTTGACATAATGTATCACACTCAACTTTGGGTTACAGAGAAATACAGCCAATCTTGATACTTTGGCAATTGCACTTTTGTGACATATGTGTTTGCAAACATACTTTTTCATGTGAATGTGTGAAAAAACATTATGTGACTACATTAAGGTGAACATGGGACATGGACTATATTTACAGAACCTTAGGTAAAGGTGAAGTGACCACCAACCCCCCCCCCCAAAAAAACCCCACAGACTGAGAGGGTGCCCAGAACAGATTAGGCCCCATTCAAAACCCAAACCAAAAAGAACAGTTCCCAGATTCTGTGTTATGGAGTATTGTATTAGATGTATTCCAGAGGGAGAGAAAAAAAGAGACACATTTTGCTTTCTTTTCTCAGTATCTCATGAAGATGGCTGCAAAGTGTTGTTACAGCAACGAGAAAGGAATGAGTAGAAGGCAGGATAATATATGTATATTCTGATGTGTCTCAGCAACAAAATGTTCTGCAGCTTTTGTGGCAACATGTAGGCGTAGCCTCTTATAAGCTGAATGGCTTGATGGGGGGGGTAGAAAAGGGATGCATTTGCTGTATCCACATCCCTACCCAATAAAGATACAGCATGAAAATCAATGGCAAGGATACATGTATCTCTTAGTTACAATAGCGCGGGGGGGGGGGGGGTTAACAAAAACAGACTTTTCCCTCCCTAGAAACAAACATGGCTCTGTCTGTATGTGGCAGACTCTACCTACTGAAACAAGCCAAGGTATTTAATCCCTTATGTACTCCTTTACACAGAACTGCAACCACAGTTAATTTTTAGGGAGAAAGGTTCCCCCACTCTTAATACCCTTTATCTAGAATGGTTGAGAATAAAGGGCTGAATAATGTTGGTGCTTGTTTTGTTTGTCCAGCTCTGACAGGTGATCGAGAAAAGCAAAGGTTTTTAGTTGTTGTTTTTTACTTTGAGGCAACCCCAGTGGCCAAAATGACTGAGGTTATGTCTCCACGCATCAAGTAGTTTTTAAGAATGCAGCCATCACAATGAACTTCCACAATGGTACTCCATGGCCAAGCCGAAACGCCCAAGAAAAGCTATAGTACTGTGTATCAGAATAGAATAAAAAGTCGTATGCAAAAGATTGCCTGTGAATGAAACACCCACTCCGCTGTGTGAGTACAGACAGGTGAAAAACGAGCTGTGCCTTACCTTTTGTCTGCAAGCAAGTCAAACCCAAGGAGTATGTCTGGTTAGAAAGAAAAGGCTGGAGAATCTGCAAAATAACACACACATATACACACACACTTAATATTATTACACTGGAAAAGTATTATCCTCCATTTCTGTACAAAAAGCACCTATTTAGTTTAAAATGCAACCCAAAAATGCATGCAAAATTTCTCCCCTCAAAAAACCCCACCCATATACCAAAGCAATTAAATAAATGCATGAAATACAAACATATGTATACCCTATGCCTTCCATACAGCGCCTGCATTCATCTAGTATTTGCAAATTCTGCACCTAATATATAGCCGGAAGGGCTTCTGTAGATCAGCATATTGCAGGTATTTAAAAAGACACACATAAAGCTGATGGTAAAACAAAAAGGGGAAAAAACATTACCAGCTCCTGTGCTGCAATACCAACAAAGGCATATCCTTAAATAACTGCAGCATAACCATTCTCCCAGAGTATTAGTATCCGTGAGCTCTCTGTCTATCTCCAGACAGACACAGTCTGCCAGCCACCAGCTTGCAGCTTCCGTATGTGTGTCGGGGAAGAGGAAAACTGCAAATCAGATGAAGTCCCCGCAGTGGTGAAAAGGAAAAGAGGCCGAGTGGGAGACACAGAGGGAGCTCGCTGGCCACAGAATTTTCCAGAATGACGGCAAGGCAGCCAGCTCCACCATCACTCACTTACAATAGGATGCTGCACTTGCCTCAGCTTAAGCCGTCTATCAAAAGGGTTCCTGGTATCGAATGCCTGACAAGCATTTTAATTGCAACCAACCAAAATATGTCCTTGGTAATCAGGCCTCTAATCCCAGGAAAACCATCAATCGGTTTCCTTTTGTGTCACTGCCAAATGTACACACAGGCAACAGAATACTAAAATTTATATGAATCCGTTTTTAAAAAATAAAATGTTTTACATGCAGTAATATGTGCTGCTGAAAAAACAGATCTCTTCGGATTATAAATGCAAAGTTACTACAGCATGCACACTACACACACACACACACACACACACACACACACTCCTTTGTATCTTCCAAACACTTTTTTTAACTTCTCAAAGAAATGGGAAGCTTCCTTGTAAGAGAAAATAATGCTCAAGCATTATTTTGGCTTTCAAAGAAAGATATCATGCTACAAGTAAAAGGTGCAATTACATTTCTGCTATAAACCAGGTTTTGCCACCATAGCTAATGACACAAATGTACTAGCTGAGCCACAAATTCTCTGCTGTGGATTGGAAACATCAGCAGAAATATTATATACAAGCAAATGAAAACCATGCAACAGAATGACACTTTCGAAAGTTTTGCAGCATGAGCTGCCTAACTGAACTACGTGAGAGTATGGAAGCGTAAAATGTTATGGTTGACCCAAACCCTGTTAATTTGCTTTTTTAAATATAGTGAACACAGAAGGTGACAGAGTGCTCCAAGGGCAGCTGAGTTCATAACCATGCCTTGTTTACTCATAAATAAATCTCATTATGTCTGATAGGAATACTAAGCGGGCATAGGAATGCAGCTCTGAATATGTGTGTAATGATTAATCTCAAAAGTACAAATGAATAATTGTCAGGTTACTGGAAGATGTTACAGAAAGATTATTTTCTGGTAAATATCTGTTATGCATCCCAGGTCTTGTTCCTGGGAAGTCAAGAGGAAATAATGCAGAGACACATACAGACCTATAAACACTAATTTGGGAGTAAATTCCACTTCCAAATAAAAATTCTTCTGATTTAACTGTAAAAATATTTTCATAAGTTGTGCTAAGGTAGGGTTGCCATATTTCAAAAGACAAAAGTTGTTGAGTTTTTCATGGGTTGCCATGACATTGTTAGCAATTTCCGCCCAGATACTGCTTTCAACTGCAGTATTTTGGATACATCTGGGACATTCCGGACATATGGCAACCCTAAAAGGGTAAAGCTATAAATTCTGACATACACACAGCTATTGCTAGAAAAATAAGTTGTGTGCCCAGTTGCTCTCGCTCAACAAGAGCACTGGACATTAAAATAGTAATAATGTCAAATGACTTAGAAGTTACTAAGCAAAATGTTGTTGGGCAAGGTGGGAAGAGAAAGACGTGCTTTTATTGAGTTCTTCCCTTTTCCAGTTAAAGAAAACAGTTCCATATAAATCAGCAGGGTCGACAATACCTCATAATGTAAAAAACAACAACACATACAGTGTATGGAGCCTAACTGACAGTTTTTGACACAAACATTGTTCTAGTAACATGCATATAGCATAACAACAGTATAAGAGTGCAATAATAATGGATTATAGAATCATAGAATCATAGAGTTGGAAGAGACCACAAGGGCCATCGAGTCCAACCCCCTGCCAAGCAGGAAACACCATCAGAGCACTCCTGACATATGGTTGTCAAGCCTCTGCTTAAAGACCTCCAAAGAAGGAGACTCCACCACACTCCTTGGCAGCAAATTCCACTGTCAAACAGCTCTTACTGTCAGGAAGTTCTTCCTAATGTTTAGGTGGAATCTTCTTTCTTGTAGTTTGGATCCATTGCTCCATGTCCACTTCTCTGGAGCAGCAGAAAACAACCTTTCTCCCTCCTCTATGTGACATCCTTTTATATATTTGAACATGGCTATCATATCACCCCTTAACCTCCTCTTCTCCAGGCTAAACATGCCCAGCTCCCTTAGCCGTTCCTCATAAGGCATCGTTTCCAGGCCTTTGACCATTTTGGTTGCCCTCCTCTGGACACGTTCCAGTTTGTCAGTGTCCTTCTTGAACTGTGGTGCCCAGAACTGGACACAGTACTCCAGGTGAGGTTTTTTTTTGCCCAAGTGCAATACTTTACATTTCTCCCTGTTAAAATTCATCTTGTTTGTTTTGGCCAATTCTCTAATCTGTCAAGGTCGTTTTGAAGTGTGATCCTGTCCTCTGGGGTGTTAGCCACCCCTCCCAGTTTGGTGTCATCTGCAAATTTGATCAGGATGCCCTTGAGTCCATCATCCAAGTCGTTGATAAAGATGTTGAATAAGACCGGGCCCAAGACAGAACCCTGTGGCACCCCACTAGTCACTCTTCTCCAGGATGAAGAGGAACCATTGATGAGCACCCTTTGGGTTCGGTCAGTCAGCCAGTTACAAATCCACTGAGTGGTAGCATAGTCAAGACCGCATTTTACCAGCTTCTTTACAAGAATAGCATGGGGCACCTTGTCAAATGCCTTGCTGAAATCAAGGTAAGCTACATCCACTGCGTTCCCTTCATCTACCAGGCTTGTAATTCTGTCAAAAAACGAGATCAGGTTAGTCTGACATGACTTATTTTTCAGAAATCCATGCTGACTATTGGTGATCACAGCATTCCTTTCTAGGTGCTCACAGACTGTTTGCTTAATGATCTGCTCCAGAATCTTCCCTGGTATTCATGTCAGACTGACTGGGCGGTAATTATTTGGGTCCTCTCTTTTCCCCTTTTTGAAAATAGGGACAACATTTGCCCTCCTCCAGTCTGCCGGGACTTCGCCTGTTCTCCAGGAATTCTCAAAGATGACTGCCAGTGGTTCTGAGATCATATCTGCCAGTTCTTTTAATACTCTTGGATGCAGTTCATCTGGCCCTGGAGACTTGAATACATCTAAACTAGCCAAGTATTCTTGTACTATCTCTTTAGTTATTCTGGGCTGTGTTTCCTCTGCTGAATCATTTGCTCCAAATTCTTCAGGTCGGGCATTGTTTTCTTTATCGGAGAAGACTGAGGCAAAGAAGGCATTGAGGAGTTCAGCCCTTTCTGTGTCCCCTGTTTGCATTTCACCATCTTCTCCTCTGAGTGACCCCACTGTTTCTTTGTTCTTCCTTTTGCTACGAACATACCCATAAAAGCCATTTTTGTTGCTTTTAACCTCTCTAGCAAGCCTGAGTTCATTCTGTGCTTTAGCTTTTCTGACTTTGTGTCTACACGTGCTGGCTATTTGTTTGAATTCCTCTTTGGTGGTTTCCCCCCTTTTCCATTTTTTGTACACATCCTTTTTAATCTTAACTCAGTTAAAAGTTCTTTAGATAGCCACCCTGGCTTCTTTAGGCACCTTCCATGTTTCCGTCTCATTGGTATTGCCTGACGTTGTGCTTTTACTATCTCCCTCTTAACAAACTCCCAGCCATCATGAACTCCCTTTCCTTTTACTATTACTGTCCACGGGATCTCACCCAGCACTTCCCTAAGTTTTATGAAGTCGGCTTTCTTAAAGTCAAGAAATTGAGTCCTAGTATGCTTGGCTGCTCCTTTCCGCTGTATAGTAAACTTCAGAAGAGCATGATCACTCGCACCTAATGATCCTTCCACTTCTACCCCACTAACCAGGTCATCAACATTGGTTAGGACCAGATCTAAAATGGCTGTTCCTCTTGTTGCTTCTCCCACTTTCTGGACAATGAAGTTGTCTGCAAGGCCAGTGAGGAATCTGTTTGACCTTATGCTCTTGGCTGAGTTTGACATCCAACAAATATCCGGGTAATTGAAGTCCCCCATTACTACTATCTCCCTTCCTTTTGCATGCTTGGCCATCTGTTCCAGGAAGGCATCATCTATGTCCTCCGTTTGGCTTGGGGATCTATAGTAAACTCCCACAATGAGGTCACTGTTATTCTTCTCTCCCTTAATTTTGACCCAAATGCTCTCACTTTGGCTTTGAGGTTCTAAATCTTGGATCTCTTCACAGGTATACACATCCCTGACATATAACGCCACTCCTCCTCCTTTCTTGTCTGGCCTGTTTCTCTGAAATAGATTGTATCCCTCCATTATTACATTCCAGTCGTGGGACTTATCCCACCAGGTTTCAGTGATGCCTATTATGTCATATTTAGTTTGCTGTACCAAGAGCTCAAGCTCATCTTGTTTATTTCCCATGCTTTGCGCATTAGTGTACAAACATTGAAGTCCATTAATCATTCCCCCGTGTCTCTTATTTAAGGATTTTTTCCTCCCACCACTAGGTCTGCATGCTGTTTGCTCCATTTGGTCTATGACATTTGGATGATCATCTTCATCAATTGATAGACTCCTACCTTCAGGAGCACTGTCTCCCTCCCCCACATTAGTCAGTTTAAAGCCCTCCTGATGAGGTTTCTGAGATTTTTGGCAAAAACATTCCTCCCAACCATTGTGAGGTGCAGACCATCGCTTGCCAGAAGTCCATCTTCAAGAAACTGCAGTCCATGATCTAAGAATCCAAACCGTTCCTGTTTACACCATTTGCAAAGCCAGCTGTTCACTTCCACTATTTTTCCCTCTCTCCCTGGGCCACGTCGTTTAACTGGGAGGACAGATGAGATGACAATTTGTGCATTTAATTGCTTCAATTTCCTGCCCAGAGCCTCGTAGTCTCTTTTGATCTTCTGGAGGCTATTGCTTGCAGTGTCATTGGTTCCCACATGAACCAAGAGGAAGGGGAAATACTTGTATGAAATACTATGAATTTCATACTATTATGAAATACTTGTAGCAACAACAAACCTCACAGACCTTGAAACTTTGGCACATGCGAGGTGGGAAGCCTATACACAATCATAGTTCACAGCTGCATGAGTGGGTGCAACTTTTTGTCATTGAAGGTGCCAGAGAGATGACACCTTCCCCTTTTCTTGGTTCAGGTAGGTAGCCATTTTGATCTGACATAGTCGAAATAAATAAAAAAATTATTTAAAAAAATTAAAAATCCAGTGGCACCTTAGAAACCACAAAGCCTAGGACTTGCCGATCAAAAGGTCGGCGGTTGAATCCCCGCAACGGGGTGAGCTCCCGTTGCTCGGTCCCTGCTCCTGCCAACCTAGCAGTTCGAAAGCACATCAAAGTGCAAGTAGATAAATAGGTACTGCTCCGGCGGGAAGGTAAAAGGCGTTTCCGTGCGCTGCTCTGGTTCGCCAGAAGCGGCTTAGTCATGCTGGCCACATGACCTGGAAGCTGTACGCCGGCTCCCTCAGCCAGTAAAGCGAGATGAGCGCCGCAACCCCAGAGTCGGCCACGACTGGACCTAATGGTCAGGGGTCCCTTTACCTTTACCTATTCTGCCTTGGTCAGACCACACCTCGAATACTGTGTCCAGTTCTGGGCACCACAATTTAAGAAGGATGTTGACAAGCATGAGGAGGGCAGAGGAGGGCAACCAAGATGATCAAGGTCTGGAAACCAAGCCTTATGAGGAATGATTGAGGGAGCTGGGTATGTTTAGCCTGGAAAAGAGGAGACTGAGAGGAGATATGACAGCCATCTTCAAATATCCTGCATATGTCACATGAAAGAGAGAACAAGCTTGCTTTCTCCTGCTCTGGAGGGGAGGACGTGAACCAATGGCTTCAAGGTACAAGAAAGGAGATTCTGACTAAATAACTTTATCAGGAATGACTTTCAGACAGTAAGAGCTGGTTGAGAGTGGAACAGACTCCCACAAAATGTGGTAGATACTCCTTCATTGGAGGTTTTTAAGCATAGGTTGGGTGGCTATATGTCAAGATAACTTAGCTGAGATTCCTGCACTGCAGGGGGCTGGACTAGATGACCCTCAGGTTTCTTTGAACTCTACAGTTCTATGATTCTACTGACAAACAGCACCTCTTTCCTGTCTCGACTGAGCCTTCCCCACCTAGTCCTTCAGCAACTCCAGACAATCAATAGTTTAAAGCTTATGCAGCCTCCTTGGCATTGCTTGAGAAGGGGGGAGAGAGAGAGAGAGAGAGAGAGAGAGAGAGAGAGAGATACCCGCCCCCCGCCCAGCTCTGGATGGGAACTATAACTTAAGACAGTTAGACACACCAATAGTCTGCTCTACTGCATCAGGGGGGTGGGGGAGGAAGAGATTTTGCTGTGAGGACAGTTAAGGCAGAAGCTGTAGCTATTAAGCATCTCTATGGTTACTGGTATAGGAAAAAAATCACCCTTTTTTAAAACAAAATGAGCAATGGGGGAGAGGAGCAAAGGATGACTTCAGCTAGTACAGTCACCCTCAGCAGGTATGGGGGGAGGGGGAGGAAGCACAAATAAAATTCAGGAGCTTTAGAAAAAAAATCATTCTGGAAATTTTTCCAGTGGAATAAAGGACTGCTGTTCTTCCCCTTCTAATGTTTCCTTACAGAGAGCCAACATGGAAGTATCTCATCAGCCCATCTCATTTTGGCAGTACGTCTGTTCATGCTCTTCAGAATTGGATTGCCTGTTTGCTTTGAACTTGACTGAACCTCCCAGATTGTGTTGTATTGTCAGCACATTGCATCATCTTGCTCATACCCATGCAGCCCCTTTTCTTAGCTACTGACGGAGCAAAGAACATCTGTCTTTCTGTGAATCTGAGGGCTCTCTGGTATTAACGCCATCCACAAATGCCTTAGCTTTAAATATACATATATATTGTTTCTTTTTTCCACACAACTTGGGACAGTGAGTGGTCTCTTTTTTTTAACCTGTTTACATTAAAGTTGAGATAAGTAGATATTGTGGATTAACTGATACACCAGCGTTAGCAAAAACAAAAAATACTTGTATACTGGTGACACAAGGGACAAGTGCAGCAGTCAAACTCCCTGGATCTTGGGTCATGCTATGCGCATGAAAGACCATATGCCTTGAAGTGTTAGTTAATTTGTCACCCTATGTTTAATTTATTTAAGAGTAATAAAAAAATATTTGCACTAACAAGTAACCTTGCCATCCTGTTCATGAATTTCAAGTTCTTCCCAGCTGCGGGTCCTATCCACCAATGCTGTTCCACTTACACAGCGGAGCTTTTCCCTCCTAGTTACCCTTCAAAGCCTACTTCAGAGAGTTGGAGGACACCCCAGGGTAGATTTTTGAGGGCATGCAAGGAGAAGAGAGGTAGTTCCACTGTGCATGACAAACTCCACACATGCAGTGTTAGAAACACTGCTTAGAGATTGTTCAAATCGTAAGTGGTGCATGAATGCTTTTAAATGAATAAATATTTTCTCCGCACCTTTGGCTGGTGTATCAACAGTAACCAACTGTATTTCTCTCTAGCTGCCACAAACCAACCTTGAGGTGGTGGCTCGAGGTAAAATCTTGAGACCACTTCCTACTCATCTTCCACTATAGTCCCTCGGATCAACCAGGAACACTCCCTGGATGATCCCAGCTACACATCCAGTTCACAGAGCAAAGAGGCAGGAAATGGGATCTGCAATGGCTACGTAACAAATATTGGTTTCCTCCTCTCTGGAGCCTGAAAGTGAGTGTCTTAGTCAGAAGTGTGCTAAGAACTGTTTCTTTGAGCAAGATGGTTAATTGTTCATAGAACTGAGTTGGAAGAGACCCTGAGCGTCATTTAGTCCAACCCCTGCAATGCAGGAATCTCAACACAGGTTCCCCTATCGAATCTAAAGCCATACCAGACCCTGCTTAGGTTTGCAAATGTGCTGTCAGTTTTAATTGTTTTAGCATTCGTTTTGCCTTGTTTTTATTGCTATTTGTATTTGTTTAACAAACTGCAAGCCATCTGAGACTTTAGGACAGTCTGGGCTAGAAATCAGAATGAAAAATGAAGACGTATATAGGTAAAAATTTACAAGGGGTATTACCAGAGAGCATCATATCAATTCCCCCCTCACTTTTGTATCTCAGTTGCCATCTTGTATGGGACATTTAGTTGGCAAGAGCTGGCTATCCTGAGCAGGGTGTGTTTACAGGACCAGTTGTCATGGAAAAGAGAGCATCCTGGCCCTCTGTGCTTTGAGCTATGAAAACGTTGGGATGCACAAATGGCAAAATTTTCCACAGCCTCATTCAATCAGCACAACACCCTGCCATAAATGACAATTCTAAGCCCTATCCATTCTGAAGGAAATCAGCCCTGAGTGCTCACTGGAAGGACAGATCGTGAAGCTGAGGCTCCAAGACTTTGGCCACCTCATGAAAAGAGAAGACTCCCTGGAAAAGACCCTGATGTTGGGAAAGATGGGGGGGGGGGGACAAGGAGAAGGGGATGGCAGAGGACAAGGTGGTTGGAAAGTGTTCTTGAAGTAACCAGCATGAATTTGACCAAACTGCGGAAGGCAGTGGAAGACAGGAGTGCCTGGCGTGCTCTGGTCCATGGGGTCACGAAGAGGCGGACACGACTAAACAACAAAAGCCCTGAAATCTTGCCTCAAAACATACCCTTCCTGTATCTGGTACCTCTAGGCAGGACAGCAACAGATGAAGAGAGAAAATCCTTTTCAACTGCCACCTGATTCCCCCCCCCCTATATAACTGGTCCATGCCCTTTGTTGGGGGAAACCTCTACCCATTCCCTGTCCCTCCTGAAGGTGTCAATCAAGATGCCCACTCCATCCCCTATTCTCCCCATTTCACCTTATCCTGGCACTGAGGATTTCATTCCCTCTTTCCCACGTATGCATTCTTGGGAGTTCATAAGAAAGGTTATGGTTTTTTGTTTTGTTAAAAAAATCCTCTCTCTCTTTCCTTCCACAGTGCTTTCAGCTTTCTCTCCCCCTTTCCCCTGTACATTGCATTACTGTGCAGCTGTTTTTGGCCCAGTGTCACCCCATCCTACTCTGGTACAGCTATCAAGGGTAGACTCGTAATTTGCCTTTTCAGGGTGGCGGAGAAAACCCACTGAAATTTTCTCTGTTTCTCTCCCCCTGGTAGCTTAAAGGGGTGCTCCACAACCTAGACCAAGTTCCTAACCTTACCTATGCAGTGCACCTCATGTTTTGGTCAAATACGCTTCGTTTCTGGGCATTTCTACCCTTACTGACCAGGTCCACACAGGGAAAATGCAACCTTAACATCAGGCTTAAATTCACCCACCCTCCCCCAGTAATACAGGTTCCAGAAGGGCTTACTCCCTGAACACAGGAAAAAAATAGGTCAGCTGCCAATGACAAATGTGTAGTATTCAAGATACAAAATGCCACTCTTCAGGCAAAAGGTTTAATACTCTTAACACAAGCAAAGTGGTGCCTATTTTGTATCTCTTATGAGATGATGAAGGAAGCAACCAACTATATACTAAATTAATAAAGATGTAAATTAGGTTACTTATGAGTAGCTAGTTTCGGTAATGAGCATATTTGTCCAGTGGGAACAATGCTGAGAGACTCATTCAATTTGCATTAGGCCACTGTAACATTTTCTCTTAAATTACTTTTTAGCAAAAAGGGTTTATCTGCTTCTCATTCTTTCACAACTGGGGACATTTAAAAAGGATACACAGAAATGGTATTTGTACCCTCACTCTAGGCATATACTTAGAAGTTCCAATGCTTTCAAAGGAACTTTATTCTGAAGATGTACGTTTAAGATTGCATCAAGATTACATTTGGATAATTATTTACATCCAAAATCAGACAAATATATTTGAAGTGAGGAACCTGTCAATAAAGAAATGCACAGCTGTGAAGCCAAACCAACACATACAGACTCTGAATGAGCATACCTGAACTCAGATGATTGACTCAAATGAAATCTGCACTTGGGGGCTTTCGGAATAACTTTAGGGGGCAGGATATGTCTTAAGACATCTATTCCTTGCAAGCCTCTCAGCCATTATGCTAACAGAATATCATTCACGGGTAACAATTCATACAGGGGAACTGCTTTTCTTGCTCTTAGTTTTGTGCTAAAGCACCAAGCTTTGTAATCTTTCATGACACTTTCATGAGTGCATGCTCTTATTTCGTTGACACCAGAAGTCTGGGATCAGACTATAATAGGGGTAAGCAACTGAAAATCTGAAGGGTACATCCTGGCACAGAAGTTTCTAATGTGCGTGGGCAGAGTGGCAGATGTGACGGAAACACAGGGGGCAGCATGTCCTGTTTTGCCACTTGAGGAAAACGGGAAGTGCCACTCTGCACAGCCACTGCTCCCACCACTACCTGCCTGCTCCTCTGCCACTGCTTGCTCTGCCGCCGCAGGCCCTGCATCTGCCCAGCATTTGTCGCTGGCGGAGATGCAGATTTCAGGCAAGATCACATCCATTTGTGGCGAGATCCCATTCAAATCACATAAGCACTTGTGTGCACTCTACAAGATCTCACGAGATCCTCTCCCAAAATGGACACAATCATGCCTGAAATCGTCAGTGCCCGGGTTTGTTTGCTTTTCTGTCTGAAGCTGTGGTCTCACCCTGCCGAATGGCTGGGCCGAAAACAGCAGCAGCTTTGAAATGGGAGGTCACTTTCAAACACCCACTCCACTTCCTTCTCAACAGGCCAACGGGGGGTGGGGGGCTTCCAAATGGGAAATTACATAAGATCTGCAGACCAGGGTCCTTATCCAGAAGAAAAACATACAAATGTGGTACAGGGACATGGTTACATATTCCTGAGCATCTCAGCTTGCAAGCTTTCCAATGGTTGTGTACAGCTGTGTTTTCTCCACAACGAGCCCTTTGCTCTGTATGAGAAAAGCCCTTGCTGTTCTCTAGAATTAGAAAACTGAAAAGAAATTATGCAATCTAGTAAAAATAGAAAATAAGAAAAAATATTCAGATTTATTCCATTTGCACAATGAAGACAAGTCCCAGAATTCTGCATTTTGCTGTTCAGATTTAGACTGCAGAATTTTATTTTAAAGGAGCCTTCCTAGAATTACACATTCCACTGCTACTTTCACTCACATTTTATTAATGGAAACACGGATTTGCCACTTTCACATACAATTTCTCTCTCCCTCCCACTTGTTAAAGCCTGAATTGAGACAAAGCTTTGCACTGTGTGTTGCATTTTACATCAAAGGATATAATAAAATAGCCCTGCTGCTTGTCAGTTCCATTTATACAAAGTTATAATTATGTTTTATTAATCCCTTTGTTGAGTTTCACAAGTTATTTCTTTGAGACTCTAGCTATTTCTTATAAGATTTTAAATTTGTAAATAAAAAAATTGATCTAAATGTCTGAAAGGAATGAATTTTGTTTATTTTAAGTTAGTTCCTAGGTCTCAGTTACAATACTTCATTTAAAGTTTAAACTGATTCGTGGTTTTTATGGTTTTCCCGAAGGAAATCTGAACACAATTCTCTGAGAATAATTCTCAGAATTTTCATAAAACTGCAATTTCCAGAATTCTTTAAAGGAATTCATGCTAGTTAGCCACATGGATTGTCTGTGCAGGAAGGTAGTATATAAATTAGGCTTGTGTGTCCTCTGTGTTTGTGTAGTAATAATGAGGCGACTTCACATTGTCTACAGCAATGTCTACCTGCATCCTCAGTCCTGGCCGGACTGCTGAAGAGTTAGAACTGGTATAATACACAACTGAAGTACTCCAAGTGCGATAAAAGTCTCATTCATACAACTTGTTGTGTACATTTGTGTTCCACTATCCTCTTTTTCTGTCCGTTGGCTTGTAACTATTCACTTTCTTTTTTTGTTGTTCTCAACAGTCCTGTGTGTGTACAAATTTTGGGGCTTTCTCTGTTAAACCACTCAGATGGTCGTGTTTTGAGGAGCCCCCCCAGTCTGGGACTGGCACAATAGTAATACCTTTCTAACATACATATCATTAAGGAGTGAAAAGGATATTGTACTGAGAAGTGTGAAAGCAATATAATTATGTTGCTGTAGCAGGAAAGGAGCTATACTCAGGGGTGCCAGAAGAAAATATGAGTTTACACTTTGCAAGGGAGACTATTTCCAAGAGTAAGCCCCACTCGCTACAGCTTCAGCTACTAGTTGTAGTGTAAAGAAATATACTTGTTAAAGGAGAGTCCATGTAGTCAAGCCTAGGCATTCAAAATAGGTTATTTAGCTCCAAGTATTACCACATGCCATGCTGGCTCTCTATTAATAGTTTCAAACAAAGGGCTCTATTGTAACGAAAGCTAAAATGGCCTTTACTCTTTTAAAAGAGTTTATAAATGATTAATCACTTAATATTTTAAATAGGATAAAATAGAGTATAGCTTTCATAAAATACAGCAGGATGGCTAGCATACAGTCACTAAATTTGGTGGCCTCTGCTAAGTTCTCTGGATAATATAAAGATCTTACACAGATGGAACGAATCCCAGTTCTATCAACAACATAGTTTTATCAATCACATCTATTATCATGTGAAGGGAGGGCTGGCAGTTTTTTTCCTTCCATCAATAAATGTAACAGCCTTGATTGCAGGTGTGCTGAATCCACCTACAGTGCAACAAGAAACTCTAATTTCAATTGGCTGAGCTGCTGTGATGGAACGGACTGTTCTGTTTCTCAGGAAACTATTCTGTAGGGCTAAGACTGTGTACTGTGGGTAGCAAGCCAGAAGGCAAACAAGCTGGGGGCTGGGGGGCTGGGGGCCAAGACAAGAGGGCACAGCATTGCTAGGTCTATTCTAGACCCTGGCAGAGGAATTCTACCTGTATGGATTGTCACCGCAGCACTCTGACAGCTGGGCAATCTAAAAGAAGGCAATGAGGGCGGAAAAGAAAGTCCTTTGGGTGCAGGGTTGTAGTTCAGACCAGCAAGGGACTGGACCCAAATTCGTGAGTTTTTGAAACAGGAAATATCTGAACAGAGATTCACAAAAACAACAGGACCATTGAACATTCCTGGCTTGACGCCTTAATCTTTTGGGGAAAGTATTTCCAGAGATATTTCCAGCACACTGAACAGAAAGCTTCTTCATTTCGTAGCTCTTTTCAAAGACTCCAATGAAAGCTGATAAGGGATTCAAAGGTATTGTTGGCCATAAATACTAAATAGTCACAGCCTGTAAAGGCTGGGTAGAAAACTATCAAGATGTTTCGATTTTAGAACAAAATAATAAGAACGCTGCCTCAAAAAGGGCATGTAGATTCTAGCCCAAAAATGGAAACAAGAAGAATTACCGTCGATGGAAGAATGGAGAATGAAGTTAATGGAATACACAGAACTTGATAAATTAACAGGAAGGATCCGAGGCCTACGAGACCACAGATTCACTGAAGACTGGAGTAAATTTGTAGACTATTTGAAAAGTATTTGCGATGAACAATTAACGTTTGTAGGTTTGCAAGAGGCTCTGTGAAAATAATATTAGAAATATTGTAAAAAAAGGGAATAAGAGGGAGGAGGTTTTTAACAAAAGGCAATATTAGATTAAGAAATGCGGAAGAAGGATTAAAACGGAGGATTTGCAGAAGAGCTGAGGGAAGTCCAAAAAATGTATCTGTGAAAAACTGTGTTATGTGTTTTTATATTTTTGTATTGCAAAATGAATAAAAATAATTTATTAAAAAAAGGGCATGTAGAGATTATGCTTTGTGTATGCTACATGCAGTACAGCACATAGCTGCTGTGGGTAACACTATTTAATCTAATTGGGTTTTTCCAATTACTCTGATATTCTAGAGACAATATAATCATCATCATAAAGATGCCTAGGGGTTGTCCAATAGCACGGACAGCCCCACCAAACATTCAGTGGTGGCTTTTACCATCAAAATGATTCAATTAAGTGATCACAAGTGATCACGAATCTCTCAACATTTTAGAGGTTAAGTGTTTTACAAGTGGAGCTTACTTTATTTTAAGCATTTATAGCTATTGAACAGTAGGCCTCTGTTCATCTACAATTTGCTGCTTGGAGTATTTTTTTCTGAATTTTACCCATTCTGAGCCGTTGAGTACAGGGAGAGCTAGATAACACATAAATAAAAAAAAAAAACAACATTTGAACTTTCTGCTGCAAACTTGCATTTCCCATAACAATCTCTTCAACAACTGCACCATGCACAAGTTTTTGCTCACCAGAAACTGAGCGGTACATTGAACACTTGCCTGTCTTCAATGGCAGAGAGAGCAACAGCATGGGCAGTCAGAGTCAGTGACAGGCAGAATCACTGGCAGATGGAGCCAGCTAGTTGTAGGTTAGCCTCCATCCTCCTCCCTGCTGAGCTCTACAAGGGCAAAAGAACTGAGACTTCACCAGCAGGGCAGGTTGTCTAAGAAGACAGGCAAGTGGGGCTGGCAGAATAGGTTGGTGGGACACTGTTCTGTTTGCCCTCATGGAGCAGCCTCCACTGGCTGAATAGGATATAAGAAGCATATGGGTGTGACTAAAACACCCAGGGATTTCATATCCTAATAAACAAGAATTTGTTTGGATTAGCACTGACTCCCCTGTGTTCCCACATGATATACTGGAAGTGCATGTTATTCACCCATCTGCCTGAATGTAATGTTCAAAGTCATCCTCAATTCAAAGATGTTAATGAGTGGTTAAGAAGATGAAATGATGAGTGGAAACTTAAAGTAATGAAATGGAAAATGACAAGGAGGAAGGGAGGGCGCTCTGGCTGCATAGCAAGGTAATATTCCTGTGTTGACTTGTGAAATTATCTCTCCAGGGCAGTAGAGGAAAGACTGGGTTTTTTATGAGAGCAATGGTCAATATATTTAAAAAAAAACAAAACAAAAAAACAGAGCAAAAAGAATTGAGCACCCGAACTAATAGCTTCTTCTGTCTTCAGTTTTAATGGTTTTGCTCCTCACTTTATCACAACAGAGAATTTAGCACTGAACCATTTCAGAAGGTGTTAGAGGCTTCTTAACTCATGCCGGCGTTTTGTTCCAGATGAAAAAGTATAACATATGGATGTGAAGTGCTAGGATTGCAACTAATTTCCATTCTGGAATGTGAGAAGGAACGCAGGGGGAGGAGACAGCGATAACATGGTATATATCCCTCATTTTGAATGTCTGGATTATAATTATATTTTTAGAAAAAAACATTATTGATGAGTGGAGATTGCTGAACTCCTTTTTTGCCCTGTCATTGCTCCTCCCCTATTCTCCCCTTGTATTGCCAATGTTTAATTTTAAAATATTTTTAAGAAAGGGTTATATCCAACAGAGAGAAAAGAACAGACGGGGAAGGGAGAAGCCATGCCAAAGCTTTGTATCACCCAGCTATCATTAGTGACCTGACTCATATCACTCTCACAGAAATCAAAGGTTGAAGTTGCAAAAAGGCAGTCATGTTGACGGAAGCTAGGCACCACCTGGAGACGAAATCTCTTGACAGCCTATCCCCAATTTCCAGGACTGAGCAGGTGTTTGCCATCTGAGCATGCTGTGAGTTGGGTGGGGAGCTAATTGCTCAGCCTATATGTGCACATTTCAGCTGGGCTCCCAATTCTCAATATGCTGATACATAATTTCAGGGCTCAAGGCTTTTGGGGTGTTTTATTTAAAAAAAACCTGAATTATTTTTGCTGCAATACATGATGTAGTAGAAAGAGAAAATACCAGCTATGGCATCTGTGATTTGCACTGCCCTCTGCAGTTTCAATTCAGAGAAACTGTCTTAAACCAATGTAGAAAACTTCCCATTATCTACTTTCCTATGGGCAAGCCAAGAAAAACTTTCTTTTTTGTCTTCTCAAATTTGAAAGAATATGATAATCTGAAAAGAATCTGACATTTTTGCTTTTATTTTTTACCTTGAAGCTGAATTGTTGCCTTAAGAACACATAAAAAAACCTTGTACAAAATCTATGTCTCAGCAACTTAAGTAAAAAATGGTGAAGACCCATCCGAATCACAACTGATTCTGGCATTCCAACAACCTTATGTATTGAGCTGGAATCCCAAGACCCCAAGTTGCGTAGTATCAAGGGATAAGTCCAATGTGGAAAAGGCCCAACAGTCTGCTGATTCCAATGACAAGAAAGAAGCCTTGAGAGGTTGCTAACACTGCAGTCCATTAAATACATAAAACATTATTTCTAATGCATTGAACACTCACAGCTGTACCCTATATCAGTGGTTTTCAACCAGTGTACCGCGGCATCCTGGGGTGCCTTGAATGATATTGAGGGGTGCCGCAGGCAACAATGGCCTCTGTCCCCCTCGAGTCTCTGCCTCCCAAAGGCATGCACAGCTGTTTATTGCAGCAGCCCTGGCTACAAGCTACCCAGCTTCTGGGGCTGGCCAGTGGGTGCTGGTTGCCAGGAGCTGAGGTGGCCTTGAGTAAGCAAGCAAGCAGGCGAGGGAGCCCAGCCAGCTAGTCCACCAGCCCTTGCTATTGGGAATGGACAGACAAGTGAGGAGGCACCTCTCTTTGGGGTGGGTGGGGGCACCTCAGAGACCAGGGGCGGCAATAGTGGGTGCCTGGAGGACTCCTAAGGAGAGGGGAGAGGAGAGGAAGCTGAGGGAACCCACCACAAGAGTGGGTGTTCAAAAAAGGGTGAGAGGCTGCCAGCTCTGCAGGCACCACAGGGGTGCCACAGAAATAATGTAGTTGGTCAAGGAAGACTTAGACTCAAAAAGGTTGAAAACCTCAGTCCTATATGGTAGAATACCAAGATGTTTTCATTCTTAGAAGCTGATTGAAACCATTTTAAGAACCAGTTGTTGCATCACATCAAAAGTCCTCTACCTTCCTGCCAGAAAAACAACCTGTCAGAAGAATAGCATTTGAGCCGCAATGGGTCAGTGTGTCTGGCTATTAACCAGAAGGTTGGTGGTTTGATCCCACAAGGGGACAGCTGTGGGCAGGATTCCTGCACTGTAGGGAGCTGGAGGAGATGACCCTCAGGATCCCTTCCAACTCTACAATTCTACAGCGGCATAGCGTGGGTTGTCAGCACCTGGGGCAAGGCAAGTAATTTGCGCCCCCTAACCCCTAACCTGCCGCCGCTGCCAGCTTCTTCTTGCTGCTGCCTGGGCTGGTCTGGTGTGGTTCTCTCCCGCGCTCAGCGCTGCGCTGGGCGGCCACTGCACTGTCCCTCCCCCAGATAGTCCCTCGCTCTCTCTCCGCACCGCACGCCTGGCACCCACCCCCTCCACAGTGGGCGGCGACCCAGCGGCTCGGATCGGCTTCGCACACCCAGCACTGCAGTGAGAGAGAGTGAGTGAGCCAGGTAGGGGCAGAGAGCTGCGAGTGCGAGCGCCCCCCCCAGATGTTGCGCCCGGTGCGGCCGGCCCCCCCTGCACCCCCCACGCTACACCACTGCAATTCTATGATCCTAATTCCCATGAGGAGGGTGGCTGGCTACCTCAAATTGAAGGCTGAAAACTGGAGGCTAGGGCTGGATCTATACAGATATTTTTAAAATGCTATGGGAAAAAATGCTATGGGGGGGGGAGAAAGGCTCCCAAGGCAATCTGCCATTGGCTTTGGATTCTGCTCTACAGCACCATCTGGTGTTACATTTTTATAACACTTTTTAACATTATAAATTGACCAGTGTAGCTGAGTCCATCACTCACAAACTAGGCTCTTTATTTATAAGGCCTTGCCCTATGCCTGGATATTTGACAGCTTTCAAATCAACATCAACATGTACTTTTTCCCCCTCGAGAAGGAAGGTGGCAAGGAACATTGGGGCCCAAGAGTAACAGAGGATAAAAATTACAAATGTATATGCATTTTGTACAGTTTAATGCTGAAATTCTCACTTTGGAAAAAGGGACGCAGGATGATAGGCCAACGCTCCAGCCATAGCTTGTGTGTTGGCAACCTGATGATTAGCTGATATTCCTTAAAGGGTTTGGATTGGGGCCTGGCTCTGACAAGTGATTCTTAAAGCGGAATCATGAAATTGCTACCAAGAGTGTTTTTAGTGAGTTTGCTATGGAAACACCAATTCCATGAGGTAAAAATCTAAAATCTGAAGTGGCTTCACATTTATAGCTGTGGGTAAAAATATAAATACAGGTCTGTACCGCTCTTAAATCCCAGCAGTTGCCAAGTGTGTCAGAACAGTTGAGACACTATAACTGATGTGCCACAAAACAATATGAATTATTAAGGGACAGATACCCAATTTAAAATATATCTAACTCCGTCTCTGTGGAGTTCCTAAATCTCACATACTGTTTATATAGTGCTTTAGGGTAGGAATAATTTCACATGCTTTATTTCAGTAATCTGACAACAACCCCGCTGAGGGCATGCCCCCCACCCTCAAACAATGAACTGTCATACGGCAACAAGGAGGAAGTGCTGTGTCTCCCTTCCAAGCTTTTCCTGGAGCAGCACAATCAATGCCTTGTCAGTTTCACAAACCATGCAGAAGTAGATACTCTTGAGTTTGACCATTTGGCTTTGAATGATTCTCTGATTTATACGTTGCATAATCGGTGGTTCTTATTGGAATACCAAACTGCACTGCTGTGCTGAACCAAATAATGACTGGAGAAAAACAAGAAACAGTATTCATGAACTTTTTAACAATAATGAATTTAGATTTGGGTATTCAGCCTGCACGTAGAAAGCTAGATGCTGACCCAGCCTGCTCCCTAACGTTTTAGTTTCATACTCACCTGCAATATGAAGGAAATTAACCTGTGTTTGAATGGAACATGACATAGTTGAAGTAAAAATTCACTTAAATTTTAACTGTGACATACAAAATCACAGCTTGGCACAGATGTGTGTGGGGGGGGATAAATAAATAAAATGAGAGTGGAGTGTGTATACTCTCAATTTACTTATTTCCCAACATACCCCCGCACAGCTGTTGTCGTGGGGTTACCTGGCTTTAGGCAGATGGTGCAAGAGATCTGAAAGCATCCCGGAGCCATCACACTACCTTCCCAAAGCCCATTCTGAGGGTTCCTGGCTCTACATGGTTTTGCATTTATGTGTGGACTGAACCCTCGCATAAGATGCGAGTTACCTGCATTTCTTTTATGAGTTAATTGGCAGATTGATTACCACAATTATGACTTATCTATTAACCTTATCTGCTCTTTCCCTTGCAAGAATAGTTAGCAATTCTCCTCCCATCACCCTTTGGGAAACTAAGACTGAATGGGAAACTAAGCTCAACACCATCATATAAGAACAAAAAAATCTAAATGCAGCATCCTGAAATGCAGCCTGAATTATGATGTTTACACACCACTTGTAATGTTACCATATATATTTGAATGTACAGGCCTGTTTTAGTTTTCTGGGGTCCATGTGTTGACATGGGCTAAGTAAGTACACTGTGTTGGGGAGAAAATATTGAACAAAAGCCCTTACATTTTGGCAAGCTAGAAAACACACCAATAAATCAAAATAAGAACAGAATTTACATAGACCTGGCTTTATGCTATTAATGAGCAGATTTGTTTGTCATTATTATTATTATTATTATTATTATTATTATTATTATTATTGCTATTGGTACATTTCTATGGAAAGGTTCAGGAAATTCCTCACTAGTGATGCAAGTTTCTTCCAGTTTTACCAAGCCTGAAAAAAAGGGAATTGCAGTACAGTACAGCTTTCAGTGCTCAAATTAGTTAAGAAACTATAATAAATTTCTGTTCCCTTCAGGGGCTTTTTCACTGATTTGAAATTAATGTACTACTGAAATAAATAAAAACAACATTTTTAAAAAAATAAGGAAGTTCCAAACTTAAGACCCAACAAAAGCGCTTGCGCTCTCTCTCTCTCTCACACACACACACACAAACCTGACTATTCTCTGAAAAGTTAAGCTTATGAACCATAATCTCTCGAAAAATATAAGACACAATGGAGCCAACATGGGACTTTTGCATATTTTTGTAAGATACAGGAAGAAGCAAATAACCTTATTTCAGAACCATTTATATTTTACTATCTGGATAACAGAGATAGGAGGCTGTGAAATTTCTGCTATCTTGCAGGGGTAGGGTGACCGGGTGAGCTCAATTTAATAGTGACAAAAATTGTGGGAGAGGTGAGTAACATGTTATATCACTGCCAGTTCTGGACTGGCTAGCCAAATCAGAGGATGGAACAAATAAGCTGGGAGGTTGTGGACTCTCCTTCAATGGAGGTATTTAAGCAGAGGTTGGATGGCCATCTGTCATAGATGCTTTAGCGGAGATTCCTGCATTGCAGGTGGCTGGAGTAGATGACCCTTGGGTCCCTCCAACTCTATGATTCTATGATTTTAAGTCGTGAATGCAGTTGATGGACCAGCATTAATATTACCTGAGCCTTGGCCTTCTAAGATCCTTGACCTTCTGTAAAACCCCTATTAACAGCAATAGTCCGTAACAGTGGCAAGTAGATGCTACACATGTTTTAATTAGGGCTGTAAGTAACCAAAGCATTCTCCCTCCATTTTCCCAATCTCCACAGTTTGGTTGTGCAGATCCTATGGGTTTAATTGCCTGTATCTGTCAGGTGGGGGGCAGCTTTTTTTCTGAAACTGCACTCTTGTCAGGGCAGGGAAGTCACTGCCTCTCTTGGCTATCAACCAACCACCTCTAATCTCTCCATTACTGAGAAATGGAGAGCTTGCGAAATTTCAGCAGACAGCCAACAGAACCTGATAGAATTAACTCACTCCTCCTTTCTTGCCTCCTAACCCTTCCTTGCCACCATGTTTTCCTCTGTGTCAGAAATATATGTGACTGAAAGGGAACTTGGCCAATTTTTGATTTAAAAACTATTGATAACAAGGGCAAAGCCAGCAGGTGGAACCAAGGATGGCCAGAGGGCAGAGCGAAGGAGTGCCAGGATTGGAACATAACAAAATCTGGTGGGTTTGGAGAAGAGACAAAGTAAAATAAGGCAATTTTAGGTATATGGCCACAAGAACAAACCTCTTTTGTCAGATTGGCTCTAAACAACAACCTGCTTTTAAAACCTGGTTACATGCCAGAATGTAATTTTACTAATCGGACTAGTAGAATAATAGATAAATGCCTTTTCACAAGGAGAAACGCCATCTATGAGCTGATGAGGTAAAGATGCTATCCTAATTCTTGCATTGTGTACAATGTTGTGGTTCTCCATAAACATACTAGAATAGCTGGACTTTTTCCAATGTAAAGCTCTCTTTTTTTCATTATCAAATCACGTCCACAAAGTTGTCAGAGCACCACAAGTTAGATCAATTCAAACATCATCCCAAACAATGGCTAAGGCAGCTTAAGTGTGGGTTTGGCATGATGTCCGGTTTGACAAGTCATGGTTTGACATCAGCCCACAATCAAGAAACAGAAACCATGATTTGAAAAAAAAATGACAAAGCATAATTGCAGTTGTCATTTTACTTCCAGTGGCCACAGAGATACAAGAGGGACATTATGAAGCTCCGTAGATGGAAATCAAAAGCACAGAAGCTGCTCTAAGCCAAAGAGTGGCATGTTTCACATGACATGGCAAATGAATTTATGGCTTATTGGGACTGGCACAAATGTGGCCAGTCTTACAGGAGAATAGCTCTCAGTTGAGCTAAACCAAATTTTAGCTTAGTTTATATTCTGAACCTCACAGCTGTTGCTGTGAGCTGTAGCCAAAGCTTATTCTTTGTACAATGTTTGTGCAGTCTTGGTAACCATGTAGGATGAACCAGGCCATTGCCTGTTTATGTATGGAAATTCAAATCATGGTTTGGGTTTTACACTGATTTAAACCATGGTTTGGAGTCAACCTTAGCATTGTCGTTTCATCATTTTCATAGAATACATACTTCTGTTACTTTAACGAACATTACTAGCACCATAATCAAGACACTACTATAGGAAATTCTTTCTTGAGGAGTCTGGTGGTCATTATTTTTCAGGCAGATATTAATTCACTTTATCCACCTTCAAAATGTTAGAAGTAATGTAATTCATTCATATGTTGGCCTGGTTCACATCAATGGTAAGACAAACTTTGGCTTACCAGGAACAAGTCAGCAAGTTGGTACTCGGTGAGAAAATTGCAGCCCATTTCCTCCTCATCCATTCTTGCTGCTGCTGCACTACCTGAAGCTAAGCTATGGTTTGTCTTAGTGTTATGTGTGAACCAAAGCTCATCGTTTATCTCACTCTAAACAAACCACAATCTATAAATCAGGATTTATTCTCGCCTTATCACTTCTAGTTTATTTGAAGGAGACAAGATCTCCAATCTGATGCTGAAAAATGTTATACAGTATACGACTAGAAAATTATAACTATGGGGAGGATTCAACTAAGTTGTTGCATGTGCAAATAGAGGAGGTGGTGACTCCCACCCCTGCCCACCCCAAAAAAATCTGCTCTGGAAAATTGGAGGGGAGATAGAATAGGTTTAAGGGGCACACAGAGGCTGCATGAGGAGAGGTGAAAAACACCCACTGCAAAAGTGGATTTCATTTCCCTCATGAATACTCTACAAGTACAGACATCTTGGGATTATTGTCAAGGAACATGGCTTGGATTTAGCTGCCCTAATCTATTTAGCATATTAATCAAACACATACCTACACCGAGGATGTTTTGACACTTTTATTTTACAAATGGCTTAACTTTTAGCAGATTGAATGTGTGTCTATTTGTCTCCAGCAAAACTCTCAATGTTAAAATTAAGTTCTAAACCAGATAATGGTACTATGATATACTAAGGTGTCATGCACACAATCTTGCCAGTCCAAAGATGCTTAACTCCTGACCTTCAGGTATGGTTTACAGACTTTAGTGTCAGATTCTTCTGGTGTAACAGATAAAACTGAAGTTTGATGACCAGGCAGGTCACAGCTCAATAATGGTAGCCCTGGCCATGAAGCAAAATCAGTCATTCTATGCTCCATCTGTTTAAATGTCTATCTGTGCACCTGTTTCAACTTTTCTTTTCTTTTCTGCTCTCACATTCCCTGGTATAATTAATGGGTAGTAGTTATTTGACACAATTTTTCTGGTACTGCACTAAATGAAAATTATTGCAACAAAAACTAGAGGCAGATCTAAGGCTTTTGCATTTTGAAAAGGAGAGTAGCCATTTCTTCATTGTCCCAGTTAATGCCTCGCTTTGGCATGGTTTACAGAAAACCTTCCCAAATCAGCATCTCTTAAGACAGTCACATTTTGCAGGTGAGCCTTCACTTAAGATCAAACTTGGGGAAGAACTCTCTTTAAAAAACAACAACCCTAAACTGACTTACTACCCCGCAATACTTTGTGACATTCAGTAGATTCTAAGAAAAGCATTAAGTTCCTGCCAGTGCTTATTTTTTTTATTGTGGATCAGCTACTTTCTTTCTGTATATAAGCAAAACTTTGGTCTGTGTAACACATACCAGAAATTAATTTTCATTGCCAGCAACAGCAATGTACTAAATCATAGCAGTATTGAATCCATGGCTGATTCCACTTTGCCCTAATATTTTATGAACCCTCACTGCTCACTGTCAACCTTTTCTCATGACCTCATATATCTCTGACAGAAGCAGCACTTTGTTAATAAGCCACTTCTGGTTTAGAGTTTCATTTCTCAGCCTCCAAGGTTCCCCTCGTGTCCCTAGGTTCCTCACCAGGCTCACCGGAAAAACACTGCCAGTGTTTTCATAAATTTAAACATTCTTTTTTTTTTTAGTGTAAATTACCTCCAGATATTGTTGGACTCCAACTCCCAATGGCCCCAGTTTACATGACGAATGGTCAGAGATGATGGATATTGTAGTACAGCAACAGCTAAAGAGCCACAGGTTCTCTACACCGCTTTCAGAGTAAAGGGTGGGGTTAGCTAAAGTAACATGACATCATTCAAATATCCCAGAAGAAAATACACCATGCCATACCTGGCATAGTGAGGCAAATGCAGAGCGAACCTGGGCTTACTGCATATTATTTTTTGCAGAAAACAAACCATGAGTGCCAATTCACCCATTAGGAGAAACCCACCTCTTGTCTGCACGCAGACCTAGTGGTGGGAGGAAAAAATCCTTAAATAAGAGACACGGGGGAATGATTAATGGACTTCAATGTCTGTACACTAATGCGCAAAGCATGGGAAATAAACAATCAGAGCACTCCTGACATATGGTTGTCAAGCCTCTGCTTAAAGACCTCCAAAGAAGGAGACTCCACCACACTCCTTGGCAGCAAATTCCACTGTCAAACAGCTCTTACTGTCAGGAAGTTCTTCCTAATGTTTAGGTGGAATCTTCTTTCTTGTAGTTTGGATCCATTGCTCCGTGTCCAGTTCTCTGGAGCAGCAGAAAACAACCTTTCTCCCTCCTCTATGTGACATCCTTTTATATATTTGAACATGGCTATCATATCACCCCTTAACCTCCTCTTCTCCAGGCTAAACATGCCCAGCTCCCTTAGCCGTTCCTCATAAGGCATCGTTTCCAGGCCTTTGACCATTTTGGTTGCCCTCCTCTGGACACGTTCCAGTTTGTCAGTGTCCTTCTTGAACTGTGGTGCCCAGAACTGGACACAGTACTCCAGGTGAGGTCTGACCAGAGCAGAATACAGTGGCACTATTACTTCCCTTGATCTAGATGCTATACTCCTATTGATGCAGCCCAGAATTGCATTGGCGTTTTTAGCTGCCGCGTCACACTGTTGGCTCATGTCAAGTTTGTGGTCAACCAAGACTCCTAGATCCTTTTCACATGTACTGCTCTCGAGCCAGGTGTCACCCATCTTGTATTTGTGCCTCTCATTTTTTTTACAATACTTTACATTTCTCTCATTTTTTACAATACTTTACATTGCCTCTCATTTTTTTTTACAATACTTTACATTTCTCCCTGTTAAAATTCATCTTGTTTGTTTTGGCCCAGTTGTTCAATGTTTGGATAAGATATAAGGATGTATTGGAAAATAAAACCCCAAGGTGGTTGTCACCGATGGAAGCGAAAGTTCTGAAAAGGCTCAATATGGAGGCCAAATGGCCGAAATATTGGGAAATTTTGGAACAAGATGGAGACAAACTGAAATTGCAGAGTTTTGAGAAATTAAAAAACAAAGTGAGAGATTGGCTTCATTATTATCAGATAATGGAGGCATACAATTTGGATAAGAAAATTGGCTTCCAGGTGGAAAAATCAAAATTAGAAACAGAATTGTTAGAACCCAAAACTAAGATTTTGTCAAGAATGTATAACTTGCTGTTGAAATGGAATACTCAGGATGAAACGGTGAAATCTGCTATGATTAAATGGGCACAAGATGTTGGACATAATATTATGTTTGCTGACTGGGAACAGTTATGGACCACAGGTATGAAGTTCACGGCATGTAATGCCTTAAGAGAGAATATTATGAAAATGATATACAGGTGGTACATGACCCCAGTCAAGCTTGCAAAAATCTATCATTTGCCTGACAACAAATGCTGGAAATGTAAAGAAACTGAAGGTACATTCTTTCACCTTTGGTGGACGTGCCCAAAGGTTAAGGCTTTCTGGGAAATGATATATAATGAACTGAAAAAGGTATTTAAATATACCTTCTTGAAGAAACCAGAGGCCTTTCTCCTGGGCATTGTCGGCCAATTGGTGTCAAAGAAGGACAGAACTTTCTTTATGTATGCTACAACAGCAGCAAGAATACTCATCGCAAAGTATTGGAAGACACAAAATCTACCAACTCTGGAAGAATGGCAGATGAAGGTGATTGACTACATGGAATTGGCAGAAATGACTGGCAGAATCCGAGACCAGGGAGAAGAGTCGGTCAAAGAAGACTGGAAGAAATTTAAAGACTATTTATAGAAATATTGTAAAATTAATGAATCTTAGAAGGATGTTGGATAGAAACTAAGAGGTTTTTAGCTGTAATGCTTTAAGAGATATGAAAACAAAAAGGTTTACAATTGGGCAAAAGTTTAATGGTAAGGATTTGCTGAACTAACAAACTGAATTGGAATACAAAAAAGGGAGGTATGAGGAGGTCCGGGGAAATAAGTCTAGGGAAGATAGGTTTGGAAAATTAATGTCTTTTTTTAACAGTTTTATTTTGTATGTTTCTTGTTTATTTTTTACTTTTTTGTTATATTTTTAAAAAAAACTTTACTCTTTTTTCTGTATTTTGTATTTTTTGTATTTTTTGAAACTTTAATAAATATCATTTTTAAAAAAATGTTTTGGCCCAATTCTCTAATCTGTCAAGGTCGTTTTGAAGTGTGATCCTGTCCTCTGGGGTGTTAGCCACCCCTCCCAGTTTGGTGTCATCTGCAAATTTGATCAGGATGCCCTTGAGTCCATCATCCAAGTCGTTGATAAAGATGTTGAATAAGACAGAACCCTGTGGCACCCCACTAGTCACTCTTCTCCAGGATGAAGAGGAACCATTGATGAGCACCCTTTGGGTCCGGTCAGTCAGCCAGTTACAAATCCACTGAGTGGTAGCATAGTCAAGACCGCATTTTACCAGCTTCTTTACAAGAATAGCATGGGGCACCTTGTCAAATGCCTTGCTGAAATCAAGGTAGGCTACATCCACTGCGTTCCCTTCATCTACCAAGCTTGTAATTCTGTCAAAAAACGAGATCAGGTTAGTCTGACATGACTTATTTTTCAGAAATCCATGCTGACTATTGGTGATCACAGCATTCCTTTCTAGGTGCTCACAGACTGTTTGCTTAATGATCTGCTCCAGAATCTTCCCTGGTATTGATGTCAGACTGACTGGGCGGTAATTATTTGGGTCCTCCCTTTTCCCCTTTTTGAAAATAGGGACAACATTTGCCCTCCTCCAGTCTGCCGGGACTTCGCCTGTTCTCCAGGAATTCTCAAGGATGACTGCCAGTGGTTCTGAGATCACATCTGCCAGTTCTTTTAATACTCTTGGATGCAGTTCATCTGGCCCTGGAGACTTGAATACATCTAAACTAGCCAAGTATTCTTGTACTATCTCCTTAGTTATTCTGGGCTGTGTTTCCTCTGCTGAATCATTTGCTCCAAATTCTTCAGGTCGGGCATTGTTTTCTTTATCGGAGAAGACTGAGGCAAAGAAGGCATTGAGGAGTTCAGCCCTTTCTGTGTCCCCTGTTTGCATTTCACCATCTTCTCCTCTGAGTGACCCCACTGTTTCTTTGTTCTTCCTTTTGCTACGAACATACCCATAAAAGCCGTTTTTGTTGCTTTTAACCTCTCTAGCAAGCCTGAGTTCATTCTGTGCTTTAGCTTTTCTGACTTTGTGTCTACACGTGCTGGCTATTTGTTTGAATTCCTCTTTGGTGGTTTCCCCCCTTTTCCACTTTTTGTACACATCCTTTTTTAATCTTAACTCAGTTAAAAAAATTTTAGATAGCCACCCTGGCTACTTTAGGCACCTTCCATGTTTCCGTCTCATTGGTATTGCCTGACGTTGTGCTTTTACTATCTCCCTCTTAACAAACTCCCAGTCATCATGAACTCCCTTTCCTTTTAGTATTACTGTCCACGGGATCTCACCCAGGACTTCCCTAAGTTTTATGAAGTCGGCTTTCTTAAAGTCAAGAAATTGAGTCCTAGTATGCTTGGCTGCTCCTTTCCGCTGTATAGTAAACTTCAGAAGAGCATGATCACTCGCGCCTAATGATCCTTCCACTTCTACCTCACTAACCAGGTCATCAACATTGGTTAGGACCAGATCTAAAATGGCTGTTCCTCTTGTTGCTTCTCCCACTTTCTGGACAATGAAGTTGTCTGCAAGGCCAGTGAGGAATCTGTTTGACCTTATGCTCTTGGCTGAGTTTGACATCCAACAAATATCCGGGTAATTGAAGTCCCCCATTACTACTATCTCCCTTCCTTTTGCATGCTTGGCCATCTGTTCCAGGAAGGCATCATCTATGTCCTCCGTTTCGCTTGGGGATCTATAGTAAACTCCCACAATGAGGTCACTGTTATTCTTCTCTCCCTTGATTTTGACCCAAATGCTCTCACTTTGGCTTTGAGGTTCTAAATCTTGGATCTCTTCACAGGTATACACATCCCTGACATATAACGCCACTCCTCCTCCTTTCTTGTCTGGCCTGTTTCTCTGAAATAGATTGTATCCCTCCATTATTACATTCCAATCGTGGGACTTATCCCACCAGGTTTCAGTGAAGCCTATTATGTCATATTTAGTTTGCTGTACCAAGAGCTCAAGCTCATCTTGTTTATTTCCCATGCTTTGCGCATTAGTGTACAGACATTGAAGTCCATTAATCATTCCCCCGTGTCTCTTATTTAAGGGTTTTTTCCTCCCACCACTAGGTCTGCGTGCTGTTTGCTCCATTTGGTCTATGACATTTGGATGATCATCTTCATCAATTGATAGACTCCTACCTGCAGGAGCACTGTCTCCCTCCCCCACATTAGTCAGTTTAAAGCCCTCCTGATGAGGTTTCTGAGATTTTTGCAAAAACATTCCTCCCAACCGTTGTGAGGTGCAGACCATCGCTTGCCAGAAGTCCATCTTCAAGAAACTGCAGTCCATGATCTAAGAATCCAAACTGTTCCTGTTTACACCATTTGCGAAGCCAGCTGTTCATTTCCACTATTTTTCCCTCTCTCCCTGGGCCACGTCATTCAACTGGGAGGACAGATGAGATGACAATTTGTGCATTTAATTGCTTCAATTTCCTGCCCAGAGCCTCGTGGTCTCTTTTGATCTTCTGGATATATAGGTTAAATAAAGCTGGAGCTAAAATGCAGCCTTGTTTAACCCCCTTGGTGGCTGGTACAGGGCCTATGAGTTGACCATTTGTGGAGGATCTTACGTACAACACAGTATCTTTATATAGGCCATTAATCAAAAATAACAATCTTTTATCTATACTGGATGTATTCATTTTGGCCCAGAGTCTTACTCATGAAATTGAATCAAAGGCAGCCTTCAAATCAATGAAGGCTGCATATAAGACGCCACGGGTTTTCTTGGCGTATTTGTCAATAAGATGTGCTAAGACAAAACAGTGATCTATGGTAGATCTGCCTTGCCTAAATCCAGCTTGCTCCTCCGCCAAGATAGCCTCAGTGTCCATCCAACTAATTAATTTGATATAGAGGTGTTTTTCATATAATTTGCTAGGTATAGGTAAAAGACTAATAGGTCTGTAACTCGCTGGGTCCGATGTGGGGCCCTTTTTATAAATTGGGATGATTATCGCCTCGGCCCACCCTTAGGGAAATAGGCCTGTTGAATCAATGTGGGAGAATATTGTCGCCAGCAGGGGGGCCCACCACCCAATGTTGGTCTTCAGAAGTTCTGCGGGAATATAATCTATGCCAGGGGCCTTGTTGTTCTTTAGCTGTGCAATCAAATTCTCTACCTCCTCTGTGCTTACAGGTGGCCAGTGAGGTGAAACCTCTGGTTGCACGCTTGGCTTGTTAAACTGAGCTTCCTTATAATAAAACAATGATTGAAAGTATCAGATCCACTCTCGGGGTTCAACGGTACAAATAAGTCTGTTACACTCCTGGTCCAGTAGGCCAGATATGGTACGCCAAAAGCAAATTAGGTCTTTCTTGTGCGAAGCCTTGACCAGGCTTTGCCATGCGATTTACTCAGCTTTTTGTTTTTTCTTCTTTAATAGTTGTTGGCAGTTCCGTCTTATGGAGATATATGCGGTAAATAAAGGGAGTGCCCCAGTATTCCTATATTTGCGATAAATTGTTCTCAAATGCTTCCTTGTTTGTCTGCACTCTGCGTCGAACCAGCTTGCTAGACCCCTCGCCCTCTTTATGGCTGTATTCTGTATCGCAGATGATAATTGTGTTTTCAGCTTTTCTATAAGTATCTTAAAAAGCTCTAGGACCACAGCCGTGGAGTTAGTCGAAACAATAGCAGAATATATGTTCTTTAGCTCCACTGATTGAAGGAGGCCTGCATTCAGCACGGGGGACCATTTAATTCTTTGGGGAGCCGGTATACCCAAATTCACCGTGGGAGTATATTGTGGGTTGGCAATGGATTTTTCGAAAGGCGGGCCTTCAAACACTAAAGTTAGAGGGAGATGGTAACTCTCAGTGTTATGGCCCACTTGAAACTTCGTGACAAAGCCATACGCGAATCTTGAGATTAGAATATAATCTATAACACTTCCACCAGCCTTGGAAAAATGTGTGTATTCCCCAGGTCGGCCCCCCTCTTTGATGCCGTTTAATATCAACAGTTCCCTCCGTTTTGCGACCAGGGCTAAGCAGAGCCCTGAAAAGTTGCATTTGTGATCTTTAGAGAGGCGAGTAACGCCTATAGCTGTCTGGCTATCATGGTCCAGGAACTGGTTGTACTGAGTGTATAGACAGTTATCATCTGTTCCCGTTTGGGCATTGAAGTCTCTGCCGATAATAAGTGGAGCAGTAGGGTAGGTAGGCCTCTAAATCTGCCCATGCGGCCTTAATTGCCGATTTTTTTTGACAGGGGGTGAAACAGACATTAAACAGCACTAAAGAGGCTCTCTTGAGTTTGAGTAGGGTGGCCGTTGCTAGTGAGTTGCAGCTGGGTAAAGGTATTATGGAGTGCTCTAGCTTTGTGGAGATAAAGCAGGCTAAGCCTCCACAGGGCCTGCCTCCTCTCAAGTATGGGGTGGCGGACAAATAAGCATACATACATTGAACTACTAAATGAAACTTTACACAGCTCTATAAAGTTGTGTTTTTTTAAAAAAACTAAGTTCTTTTTCTAACTTAGCACCAGCATCAAGACAACAATTTCCATCTACAGCCACAAATCCAGATCTGAGTTATGGAACACAACACAGTAATTGCCTTGTCAAAAATAAAGTGACAGCAAGGCTCTCTTGCTCATTTTTCTTCACTCTAATTTTAAAGTCATGGTGAAGGGGGTGGGGCCGAGATTTAAATGAGTATTATAAAGAGCACCAGCTCTTGGTGTAATTGCCAGGTTTTCTTGAACTGTGGTATGCATGTGTGTTAAAAAATGTCAGCAACGGCACCGGTGTCTATCTCCTGCAGCTCTGCCAGAGTAAACAGATATCACCATAATAGGTTGCAGCATTACCAGAGCAGAAGTAAGGGGTCTAAACCAAGGCTGCACTGATAAAGAACAATGCAGGAATCACAGAATCACAGAACTGTCGAGTTGGAAGGAACGACAAGGGTCATCTAGTCCATATGGGAAATGGGCTTAATCAGGCCAGCACAGCTCGTGACTCCTCAACTCAAAGATAGCCCACCCATCTGTTTTCTGGCACAGAACCCCTTCCTTTGATCCTTTAACACCCCACACATAGGCCATTACCTCACCAGGAAGCTAGACTGGCTGTTCCCGAAATCTGAATCCTTGCTTAGATTTTAACAGTTGCTGCACTCAGGAATGAGAAGGGTCTCAGCATACAGTCCACCCCCTCAAACAATAAAAAGGCCCCACTCTTAACTATTAATGTTACTCGTTCATTTGCATGTCTGCCAGATGAGGGTCTCTGAAAGCCAAATGTTCACACACCAGGACAAATAATCAGCAATTGTACTTATTGCGAGGCTGCTCTCAAATTAAGTCACTCTTATCTTTCAAATGGCAAGATCTAAATGCAAGGCCATTCACAGTCCAGAAAATCTGGCTTCTTAAATTAAAATTTGGCTGAAGATTTAAGTCAGCAATGGAACCTGTACTAGATATAGCACATAGCAGACAACAAAGCTGACTGCGCAATATGAGAGTGTGAGTCAAATCCATCCATCTCTGAGTTGCTGAACTGAGCACCACTGCAGAGACACAACCTAAGACATCATCCAACACAATTTAATTTAATTATTTCTCATACACACACACACACACACACACACTCTCATGCAGGCAATAAATCTCTCTCTTAGCGGATGGAGAGTGTGTCATGGAATCCTTTCCTTCTTTAAACCACAAAGGGTGTGGCATACCCTCCAACATTTCTCTGACGAAAACAGAAACACCCCATTCCATAATGATAATTTTACTATTTATACCCCACACATTTTACTGGGTTGCCCCAGCCACTCTGGGCAGCTTCCAACATATATAAAAACATAATAAAACATTAAGCATAAAAAAACTTTCCTATACAGGATTGCCTTCAGATGGCTCAAGGGGTGGATAACTCCATACCCTCCAACATTTCTCTAATGAAAACAGGGACATCCTAAGGAAAAGTGGGTCATTCCAGGTTTAAATCAGAAACCAGGGCAGCTTCCCTAAATCAGGACGTCCCTGAAAATAGGGGCACTTGGAGGGTCTGGTGTTGTGCATCGCATAGTTTAACATAGCATAGTTTAACACAGTTTAAGATAGCAGAGCTAGCTCACTAGAACTAAGGCTCAATCTACAGCCTTCATAGCCTTTGCATGTCAGTGCTATCACACTAGTGACTGTTATTTCTCTAAAAGATGGACCATCTCTCATATCTAAAGGTAAAGGTAAAGGGACCCCTGACCATTAGGTCCAGTCATGACCGACTCTGGGGTTGCGGCGCTCATCTCGCTTTATAGGCCGAGAGAACCGGCGTACAGCTTCCGGGTCATGTGCCCAGCATGACTAAGCCGCTTCTGGCAGACCAGAGCAGCACACGGAAATGCCGTTTACCTTCCCGTAGGAGTGGTACCTATTTATCTACTTGCACTTTGACGTGCTTTCGAACTGCTAGGTTGGCAGGAGCAGGGACCGAGCAACGGGAGCTCACCCCGTCGCGGGGATTCGAACTGCCGACCTTCTGATTGGCAAGCCCTAGGCTCTGTGGTTTAACCCACAGCGCCACCCGCGTCCCCCCTCTCTCATATGTACCAGATACTAAAACCCAAAAACATGTGGGTTTTTTAATTTAAAAACTCACAATTCACTAAATAATTAACATTTTTCCGTCTTTTAATACTATTCTAAAATCTGCTGCCTTGCCCCATCTAGAGTTGGCCCTGCTGCTTTCAACAGTTGTTGAATGGGGTAGCCCAGAAAAATATTAGGAGGAAACCGCAGTTTCAAGACATTTTGGATGACGCACTTAGGACAAAGCCAGACCATCAGCACATCAAGGGCATGGTTAAAGTACATGGTTTGCCAAAGAATCCTGGGAACTGTGGTCCACCCTCCCTTAACAGATCTACAGTTCCCAGCACTTTTAACAAACTGCAGTTACCTGGATTCTTTAGAGGAAGATGTGTGCATTGATTGTGCTTTAAATTTATGGAGTGGATCTGCCCTAAATCAAATCATGGTTTAGCCGGGTTTAGTGTTAAGTGCAAACTGGGTTGTTGTTCTTATATAAATCCATGCAACACAACATGAGACATGTTGTCTCATCATCGATCCTTTATGGGTCATTTCTTTTAGAGCCTCACTAGTGTGGCTTATTATTTTAGGCATGGGACAGGAGCTATCAAGAGCTGTGATGCTAAAGAGAAAGCATCCCAATTGTTGCTTAGCTCTGGTCTAACAAAATGCCTGAAGAGCCAGGTCTGTGATTTGTAAATGACTGAAAATAAAACACAGGAAACTGTTGCTGAGTCGCCTCACTGTCCAGCCTCTAACTGATGTTACACAATCCCTTTCACAATGTGCACAGAGAACCCATTTAACATGCTGGTATCCATTCCTCCAAGAAATTGGTTTAATGAGGCCTCTTTTCCAGCATAGTTAGAGGGGAAAGAAGTGTCTCTTTTATCTCTGTGAACCTAGAAAGCAAAGTAATAGGAAGGGGTGGGGTCACTTTGTCTGAATCTTGGCACATTGAGCTGGAGCCAGGCAGGAGGTCTAATTAAGCAAGTCAGATTCAACGACAACATGATACGAGTTGGGGAGAAATATGGAAAATAAGTGTGCACAACAACGTGGATTCCACTGGTCATCACTGTACTTTTCCTCACTGTTCTTTTCTCTACACATTAGGGGAATGGAAACTTGAACACTCAGTAACTGAGCAAAAAAAGATATGAACAAATATTCTTTGTCTTTTAATATATTTGCTCACTGCACGTTTGCTGGAAAAGGGTAGAGACTGGAAACTTGACTATGATTTTCAGCTCTATTGCACTCCTCCCAGCTTAAATACAAAACTTGAACTTTTCATTTCATGATTATGCTGCTCAATATCATTGCTTTGCATGAATTATAATGCAATCCTAACCATGTCTACTCAGAAGCACATCCTATTAAATTTCCAGGAGAGAGGGGTTAGGATTGAAGGCTTATTCAGCACTTCTTTTTACTTTTTGCTTTTTACATTGGTACACAATTTTATGTAATTTTTTGTTTTTTAAAAAAATGAATATTGAGGCCTTTATAAATTGTGGTTATGTATTTGTGCGACCATGTATCTATTACGCATTCCTGTGCACATTTCCCACCTGACTTCATTGAGGTGCATTCTCAGGTAAGTGGGCACAAGGCTGTAGTCCTAATCTGCTTGCAATAATCATGGGCTGAGGTCACATCAATAGGGTATTAGATCCCAACCAACATATTCAACCCCTTCTGCCTAACTGTCCAGTGATGCCTTCTGACATTTTTCCATATATAGTCTACATTTTCACATTTTGCAGCCACAAATGCTAGAACGTTATTTTATATTTTCAAACAAAAGCTGAATATTCTTGGGGACGGCTACTAAATACTACACTTGTACAGAGACATGGAGTGAAATTCAACATAGCAGGTATGCATGTGAAAAACAAGGTATGCTCATGCAATATTTTCCACTCTCTCCTACCCTAGGCATGCCTCTTTGCATCCCTTAAACCTATACTGGGGGTCCCCCAACCCTCCAGAGCAAATGTTGAGGGTACAGGTTGGAGAAGGAGGAGAAAATCCCATTGTGCAAGCAGATTTTGTTCTGCACACAGAACAACTTAGTTGAATCCTATCCATGGTTTTATTGCTCCATGCACCGAAACCCTGTCAAATCATTAGTTTCCATCCAGACCAAGGTAGTTGCACTTTGGTTCCTTTGAAATCAATGTGAGTTAAATTAGTGATGACTAACTTTTCACATTGATTTGGAAAGGCATTTATATTATTATTAGGGATGTGTGCATGGATGGCTTTCTGTGGAGCTTTTCACTTTTCTGCCCCATAATTTTAGATATACACAGACATTCAACAAAGTCGGTTTTTTTGTTTTTCTTTCAGGAACTGTAGGCATAAACTGGGTGTGCATTGGAATATGCATCAGATATAGATGCTGCCCACTGCTTTCAACAGAATATACATTCAGAATACAGTTGTACCTGGGAAGTCGAACAGAATCCGTTCCGGAAATCTGTTTGACTCCCAAAACGTTCGGAAACCAAAGCACGGATTCTGATTAGCTGCAGGAAGCCGCAGAAGCCCCGTCGGACGTTTGGCTTCCAAAAATAGTTCGCAAACCATAACACTCATTTCTGGGTTTGCAGCGTTCGGAAGCCAAAACGCTCGAGAACTAAGCTGATCAAAACCAAGGTACAACTGTATACACATTCTTAAACCTCCACCCAGCTTACACAATAATATGCAAGGTGCTTCCAGAGTGTTGCTTTCTTCAGGTGGAACTCAATCACATCTTGACAAATTCAATTTCCATATTTAAAGTTGATTTTGTGATGATGACAATGATTTGCTTTTACCCTGCCCATCTGACTTGGTTGCCTCAGCCACTCTTGTGCCACAAAACCACTTCCTCCCAAACTTGGACTCCTTGTGACAGGAAAGTGTACTGGAAAGTGCGATATAGTAATTAACTGACACAACATCATGTAACCTTCCTGCAAACAAAGTAGAATGAATTCTCTGTAAATTGCCAATGTTGCCCAACCTTCCTGCAAACTGTGTACAAACAAATCAAGGTGAATGCTCAATAAACAAGTCATCTGGAAATCACATACAGAAAGTAAATCAGAACTAATCAGAGGGAGGTTTGGTTCACAAATAACATTAAACCATAGTTTGAAATAAACCAAACAAACCATGAGCCTGGGTTTGGAGGACAAGACAAACCAGACTCTGGCTCATTTTATCTCCTCTGCAGTGAATCAGGAGCAGGAACAGAAGAGGGGTACAGTCATACCTCTTCTTGCAAACGCTTCATGTTGCGTTTTTTCGGGTTAAGAACACGGCAAACCCGGTAGTGTTTACTTCCAGGTTTCACTGTGCGCACACGTGCAGAAGCATTCTGCGTGGTTTGCACATGCGCAGAAGTGTTCTGCGTGGTTCGCGCATGCGCAGAAGTGCTCTATCGCACTTCGCACATGCGCAGAAGCGCCGCTCTGGTTACAGACTTTTCGGGGTGTGAATGGCACTCCGGAACAGATCGTGTCCACAACCAGAGGTACCCCTGTATTGTAGTAATTTTCTTCAGCAGCATGCACTAGTAAATCAAACCATAGTTTGTTTAAGCCATGGTTTTTAATGTGACATGCAAGCTGGGCCAGCAATTCAATTTGAAATAACCGTCTGCTCCAAGAGAAATATGGAAATCAAGCCTGCTGGGCCACCATAGTATCCCATTGCCTGCTTGCTATACATATTCCTGCTCTGCGCAGGTGAATGTCTACGACTCAAGAGACATGCATTTGGCAGAATTTTGACTGCTTACTTTTAACAGCCTCCCTTGTGTTTTAAACAAAGATTAAACTCCACAAAGAAGTAAATGTCTTGAAAATTGACAATACTCCAGAAAACCTACTACCAGACTGTCATTATCACAAGGGAGTGCAGATAAAAAGAATATAATGCAGAAAAAAAATCAAGTCGTCTTTTAAGTAGTGTCCTAAATAGTTTTTGATATATAGATATGATTTCAACAGGCTCTTAGATCTGATGGTCTCCAGAGTGTTAAGTTCTGCGTAAGATAGTAATATTGGGATTTTTTTATATAAAATTGAGATTTTATTCATTCATCCTCTCTGTACACTAATTAATTAGGGGTTGTTGTTTTTTTACTATCGAAGATTCTTATAAAGGATGTAGCAAAGTAAGTATGAAAATAACCGGAATCCCAATACAGTTCTTTCGCCTTCCATTTATACTGTGCATGCTTACTGTTGTCAGCATTAGGCCTCTACTCTGAGCTGTCATAGCTCTGGACAGATGCTCTTGGTCTTGCATAATTCTCAAGTCTCACCTGCTTGCCAACATGAGCACCTGAAAGTTCAAATCTGTTATACCCAATAAGGTGGATCAGAATGCAGATTAACCGGCAGCCTAGGAAATAAAAGAAGCCTTTTGGAAGATGCCACAGAATTGGCAGAGCTACAGCTGGAGCAAAATGCACGTGACAGCCCCTCCCTGTATAATACCAGATCCCTCTGGCTCGTATCTTTCCAGATTCCACTAACCTTTCCCAGAAGCTGCTTTTCCCTCTTTGTAAGATGGGCAAGAGGAAAAGAAACTAAAAATTGGGGCATTTGTGCTATAGATTAATCACCTATACTAGACATATTATTGAGGGACCTTCTATTTACTACCCTCTATGGTAGATGCTCTTTTGGAGCATCTTAAAAAAAATAAAGTGTCCTATGTAAGCAACATAAATTAAACAGCAAATGGTGCTCAATTCAAGCAGCATAAACCTACTGGTACAGTTTTGTTTAAAGGCTTGAATTGAACCATGCTGATAGTTGTCCTGGTGCCAATGAATCAGTTAAAGGGAAATATTCATCTGCTATTCTCCCTGCATGTTTCATATTCCAGAGATCAGCAGCAAACAAGGAACCTGCCGACTGCTTGTGCATTTATTGATAATAGCAGGGAATTACTATGTGTACTATTGTACACTGTTGGTTCCAAATAAATAATTAGCAACATTAGCACTGCATTTAAACCACCATGGCCAATGCTGGATCTGATTGCTCTTGTAAAAAGAATGTTCATCGTTTCTTTTGAGATTAGATTGACATATGTGTAGGGCTATTTCCCTCTTCCTCAGAACAGCCTGTGTTGAACTTCAAACTAGCAAAATCCCCATCACTTTGAAGGGAGAAGCTGTTAAGATGGCGGCCTGAACACTGCAAAACCTCAGTGCCTGCAATGTATCCTCACTGTTTGCAATGCAATGCTTTGAGAAAGGGAATGACTCAGCATTATTTAGCATTACTGCTGTTAGAGATTCCCCTTCAGTTATTTTCACCCACGACAGATAAGCTCCCTCTAATTCGAATATGGGATATTTTAACCTCTGCTGTTAATAACACTGCGTTTTAATACAGCTTGGCCTACTTCTCCTTCCTCCCAAGCTTTCCTCTCCTTAGTTGCTCTCCATATCTGTCAGCAGCTTCAGCCTTCACCCTGTTGACCAGGCACACAGCCTTGGCTTCATCTTTGATACAACCTGGTCTGCCGCAGACCAATTGTACTTGTGCTGAGGGAACCGCAATGGCTGCCAGCTAGCCAGCTACTGAGTCATGTTTGAGGTCTTGTTGTTAGCATACAAAGACATGGACAACCCAGGACCAGGTTGAGCCATAGTGGGTGCTTGTATGGTTGTGCATGAAAGGATATGATTGTGTGTGTGTGCATGCACATGTGTGGACAAAAGAGAGGGGCGGGGAATAGGACTGGAAGAGGTTGAATGACAGAGCAATCCTAGTCCCACATATTGAGATGTTCTATTGTATTCAATGGGGCTTACTCCCAGGTAAATTTGGTTCACATTGTAGCCTGAAAGAAGGGAGCAGATGGTAGCTGATTTTGTGGATTGCTCTGTTAAGTGTTTGTGTGCCTGTGCAAGGGCCAGTGTGAATAAGAATGAGGAAGAAAAATGAATGGAAGATGGACTTACAAACGGCAGAGTGTGTCACTAGCGTGTGGGCCTAACCATTTTCCCATTTTCCCAAATGCAGGCCTTGACTCTGAAAGTGGCGCCCACCCCTGTCAGAGGGGATGCCATCAGAGCACATGGTTTCCCCCCCTCCTGTGTGTGGGTGGAAGTGCTTTATGCTTCCCCTACATGGGTGCCAGTTGACTTATTGGATCTCAGTATTTCCTCAGAGCCAAGAAACATTTTTTTAAAACCCTCTGAGAGCAGCAACATGGGTTGGAGAATCTGAGTTGACTCTTCCTTGGCATGTTCCTCTAGTTACTTCTCACACAACTCTTGCACATCATAGTAGCCTATTCATGGTTTTCATGTGAGTGAGTGAATGATAGTTAGTTGACCTCTACATCAGTATGGATGGAAACTGTGGGGGTTTTTTATTTAGTCATACTGCCACCCACACAAAGTACTGCACATTAAGTCCCTCTTAATGTTCCCCACACACCTGAAAACGCTGCAGTGACTGCATTCCTGTTTCTCTGAGTGTACAAACATCCCACTCAACACAAGTCAGCCCTTCCAATTCATCACCTTCTCCAAGTGCCAGATGCACAAAGAAGGCGACTCACTGTACAAAGCATGCATTCTTCAAGTGACAAACGTAACAGGGCATCAGAAATGATTAGAAGAAGACGGCAACATTATATTGTAGGTGCTGCTGAGTAATTATACATCTCACAACTCTGTTACTCTTTTCTTTTTCTGAAAGTGCTATTCCCCATTCATCTACCAAGTTATTAACAAGCTTGCCATTTTTAATTCATTTGACTAGCTAGAAGAAATCCCCAGCACCTTTTAGAAGGGCAGAAGAAAATATTTAATTCTTACATGCACCATTTTAAAGGAGTGCTTCCACATTTTTAGGCAACAGACCCATGAAGAACGTGGTACGACCACTTAGAAAAGGGGTCTGAGCTTAGTAGCAAGAGTGCAGGCTTTGTGTGCAGAAAGGACAAGGTGCCAACTCTGGCAATTCTAGTTAATTGGGCAGCATCTCTGGCAAGGAATTCTGCTTGGGACCCTGGAGAGCCATTGCTAGCAGAACAGACAGTGTTGAGCCATGTGGAACAATAGTCTGGCTCAGTATATGGCAACTTCATGCATTCCAGAAATATTAAAGATTTCTAGGTGCTCTCAGCAAGTGATTATGAACCCAAGTGGAACAGCTTTCTGGATTAGTAGGGAAAATGTGGACATTAGTGGGAAATAATTTGTTAGAAATGGGGAGTATCATCTATATAACAACAGTTTATAGCATTTTCTTTCACTACATGAGTCAAACATTATTCTAACCTCTCCCCACTATGAAATGCTGTAAGTTTTAAAAGAAGGCTCAAAAATACCATTTTGTGTTTGCTAACATCCACAATCACTTCTGTTTACAAAGCTGTTCACCCTGTTACTGCTATTTATTGATGATTTGTAATTGTTTTACTGATGATTTGTTAATTATTCTACATGATTTATGTTGTCTTTGCGATGTTCTATTATGTTGTTGTCGTTTATTGTTTGTAAGCCACTTTGAGATTCATTTGAATGAAAAGGGGGCACAGAAATATAATCAATCAATCATAATCTGTTCAAAATCCCAGGTGACATTGTTGCAATAATTCTCACATTGTAGAGGAAAATGAATACTCTAATTAATTGAAAGCAAGTGGCTTCAGTCTATCTAGTATCTCATCCAGGCTTTAAGTAAAGTGGCCTAAAATGAAGATTGCTCCACTTCCTGCCAGGATTAGACCAGCAAGTGAAAGAAGCTTATCTCCACTGCCTTGTCCCTACAATTCACAGACAACCCAACTCTCTCCCTTAGGGTTGTTCACCCACCCCAAAACTGGAGTTTCCTTCTGCAACAAGGCAGACTGTCAAGAGTCCAAACAGCCACTTCAAAATGCACACTATCCATGCCTTCTCTTGTCACTCAGATCCAGCAATCCCTCCTCTGCATGTGGTTCCCTACTTTCCACTAGACTAGCTCCCAATAGTATTCCTAGAGATGGAGTAAGAGACGGTTCCTCCGTGCTTCCCTCTCCCACCCCCAAAAGAGGAAGAATATCATCCTCAAAAGGCCTGCTGTGTCAAGGAAGATTTTTGTGGTCTGCAAAAATGATCTGTATATTATCAAGAAAGGCGCGTGCGTGGGGGGGGGGAGAGAGAGAGAGAGAGAGAGAGAGATAACTGAGCTCAGTGACAGCCTCCCTCACTTTCCTCCAGTTGAAAATACTAAAACTTGCTCACTTTGAGAGCATGGTTAGATTTAGAGGCATGCCAGGTTAACAGTAGAGCAGAGTGGGTGAAGAAACTACGGTTCTCCAAATGTTCTCATCATTGGCCCTGCTGACCTTGGGCTGATGGGGTTTGGAGTTCAACGACTAGAGGACCACAGGACTCTGAACTCTGGGCGATCTGTACACTACAAAAATAGAGGGTGCAGTTCATGCACAGGAGGTAAGAAGTGGGACGAGCAGCCACAATTTAGTCTCCCTCGTGTATTTCTTTCTATGCAACTTGATTTATGAAATATGTGTTTAGTTTAGCTCTAATAGCATCAGAGCACTTGCCATTTTGAAAGCCTTTTTCAAAACAAAAGATGTCTGAAGATGCAAGATTTAATAACAGAAGGAGAAAGAAAAGGTATCATTTTAAGAGGGAAAGGGCTACAGAAAATATAAAAATAGAATTGGCTAAAAACCAGTGTAGTGGTTCTAGGGGTTGCTCATGCGTAAGCCGGTGCAAACACCTGGCTGGGTTGCCTGAGCGAACCTTTTCTGTCCGGACAGCCACTCACCCGTGGCTGTCTCAATCCCTGGCAGAATCCGTCAGTGGGTGTTTCTTAAACTTCTTCCAGCAAAGAAGCTCTTTGACGCCTAGTCTCCTCCTACTCTCTCTACGCGAAAGCCTTCTGCGCAAGGAGGGCGTAGGCAGCGGAGGACCTCTACTCTCCCCTCTGGTCCCCGGCAAGGAGTCATGGGACCGCCTCGCCGCTTCCCCCATCTGCCCCCCTTCTCCACTGGTGCTATGCTGATTCTCTTCCCCAGAAGATGGGCTGCCTCTCCCAATCCCGGGACGCTCTCTGGAATCCCTCTGGATTTTGCTCTCTCCCTCCGGCACTGATGGCAGTTCCCTGACAACCAGAAACCACAAAAAGAGATGTCATTCAGGAAATAGCACTAATGTGTCACCATGCTGAAGAATTTTCCCCATGTATTACAGAGAAATCTTAGGAGAGCAAAAGGGATTTTCTGTGTGCAGGAGATGATTTTGATTATGACAAGACTGAGTTGCTTCTCTGTGAAATCTTAACCAAAGATTTCATCCTCCATTTATTAACTGCAGCTAGATTAGAGATTGCAATTTTTTTTAGGAAAATTTAAATGCAAATCTTTTTGAAGCCTGGATGTCACAAGTATGGGACATCATGCTTATGGACAAATTAGCCATTTCATAAAAGTAATTATGCCCTGGCTGGGGGGGAGGGGAGGGGGAAAGACTCACACCTTTTATTGACTTTGTTAAGAAAACCAAACATGGTTTCCACTGTCCACCAACACAAGGAACCTTATGAAGAAACATATTCATTTGAGTGCTTTTCTTGGAACATCTAAAACTGCAACCATCAGTCACTGTTTTTCTTTCTTTTTCTGTACTCTGTTTTCCTTGTATGGGTATGTTTTGTATGTTTGTTACTTGAAATTAAAAATCATTTTTTATAAAAAGGAAATGTATGCATTTTGCATTATCCTATGGGGCGGGGGGGGACACTCTAAATCTGTTTCTGTCCAGAAACTACATGCTACTAATCCTATCTACTGTTGGGGATTTCTGAATCAGGGAGTGTTAAAAATAATTATATGTTAATCGTCTTTCATGCTTACTACAGAAACTCAAACACACTGACCTGGTTGTAGTGTACAAGCACACTGTCCTCTGGATTAGTTGACAATGTAAGACACCAGTCTCTTCACCCAGCTGAAGAAGAGACATAAAAAAGGGGGAAAGTGAAGTTAAAGCAACATTGGTATAAACCCTTGAAATCTGAGGGAAAGAAAATATTTTTAAGCTGCTTAAATAATGGTCAGAAAATCATCAAATAGAAAACGAATCACAGTTATGTCAAAACAGAATTGTAATTCATAGGAAACATCTATTTCTTTTTTCCTGCTTCTTTATGGTGTGTTCCTATGTATTTAAATTTCAGTCAACAATTCCCAGAGAGACGGAATTCTTCTGATAATTTACATACAGTGGTACCTTGGGTTAAGTACTTAATTCGTTCCAGAGGTCTGTTCTTAACCTGAAACTGTTCTTAACCTGAAGCACCACTTTAGCTAATGGGGCCTCCCGCTGCTGCTGCGCCGAAGCACGATTTCTGTTCTCATCCTGAAGCAAAGTTCTTAACCTGAAGCACTATTTCTGGGTTAGCAGAGTCTGTAACCTGAAGCGTATGTAACCTGAGGTACCACTGTATATGCAAAAAGGTGAGCATGAGCTGTGTTAGCATATATTTACATGGGGAAGCTTGTAATGTCTGAGATTCCAACAAGGATCTGCTGAAATGTGATCAACAAGTGGAAAGGGGGAAGCAGTGAAATTTCCACAATTTTTATATTTAAATCCTGCTTAGTGAAACATTTTAACATTCTCAGGCTTAATATAAACCTGGGATTCTTTTGCACCTTCAATGACCATGTAAATGAGAGGATTTAGATATGCAGTTGCTGTACCTGCTAAATCCTCCCCCACCCCCTTCAACATATAAACATTTATGACTCAGGATGTCTGTCCTGCATCAAAACTGGCAATTGGCCCCCAACATCAAGATAGGGCTTATAGAAACTGGCTAAGAGATATGTATAACTGGCCACATCATTTTCTGTACACTGTAAGGCAATATAACTATTTCCAACACAATATTTTGTGGTTTCTTCCCTGTGTAAAATGGTGGTGCGGATGTGGTAAAATCTCACAGTCTTAAAATGTTCTTTTTCTAACTGTAATTTCATGTTCTTTATCGTATTGTGAGGACGGTTGCCCTGAAAGGAAGGATGAAAAAAAAGCTAATTAATAAAATTCTGAACTTAGGTGTCTGCATTTTGTGAAATATCGATGGATTATTATTTCAAATTCTGAAAAAGTATTTTGGTTAGAGCAGATGTTGTAGATGGGTGGTGAATTGAATCCAGCTGGCGCACTGGAGTCTCTCTCACACACAACACAGGCCAACTTTGACAGAAAGACTAGACCTATCAATCACCTGACATCAGGTGACAGCTTCAAGAGGTCTCACTCTCTGTGCCAATCTGCACTGAGAGCAAGCTCCTTTGAAGTGCCAATCAGCTGATTGGTTTCCAGGCTGTACATGCAAACAGGCATTTTCCTTCTAGGTCTACAGACAGTTTGGATTCAAACCATGCTTGCAAACAGAGGGGGGGCTGACCCTGACTGAAGGCATCATTTGAATCCAAACCATACCTGCAAATGGATTTTGAAGACACATTAGGTAAGGGATTTGCAAGTGCCAGCAATCAGTTGTTCATCAGTGCTTGGGAAGCCCTGCTGCTCATTTGATCAGCTTAATGGCTGGTCTTGCAAAGGCACAGGGGTAAGTCACACTTTGCCATCTTTTCCTGCCCTGATGTTATATATGACTTCAGGTGTAGGGCAAGTGAGTGCGGCTTAGCATCAAACAGCCTTGTGCTCAAGGGCCAGATATTCCACACAGAAGATGTAGTGCATACTTTTTTCACATGGTGGCTGAACACCATTTTCATTTAACAGTGTTTCTATAAAATGACATAAAGATGGGAACTGTCCCAGAAGGAACTGGAAGCAGAAGGAAAAAACTGTGGGGTAGACAAGAAAGAGGAATATATATCCACGTTTTGTTTTGGACCATACTGATCTAAAAAGAGGATAAACTTAAACTTATTTGGAAAGGGGGAGGTGCTTCATCTGACGAAAGGTTCCTCTCCAGAGCAAAAGACAAATGGCACAGTTTTCATACCTGACAACATACACAGGCATACCAGATTTTGCTCTTCCATTCAAACACTCTCAGCTAACAAGAAACTAATGGGTGAAGTAGCCCTTAACTGAGAAATGTTCACATTTATCACAATGCATTGCTAAAAATGGCAGATCAAGCTTCACTTGCCATAAAAGAAGCTATAATTTTGTATACGTATCCTCAAATTCAGTAAATCTAATTCTGCAAATGGGATCTAATATAGAATCTACATTCTATGTAACAAGCAATGTATAATAATCTAATGCACTAAAATAGAAATTCTGTCTTTAAAAAGATTTGCTTTCCTTTTTATAACTAATGTGCATTCAGCAATGCATGATTTGGGAAAGTAGGTTGCCCCAGGATTCTGAAAATCTTTTAAAATTATCCTAATCAGCTGATAATTGTTCAGGGTTTAACAGCGAATGAGTTCTCAGAAAGAGGGCAATGGTAATAACTGAGGTCACATGGCTTAGTTGCCTGCCTCAGTTAAAGAAGCAGATGGCTTATATTAGCATCTGAATAAGAGCATGAAGTTCCTAGCTGAGACTTGAAGGCGGGGTGGGGGGTTATAAGTGCACTAGACAAACATAATTTCCTTTCCACATAAGATGCTGACTTAGGAGCTATTTAACAAGCAGGTTTGTAAGAATCTTACATGGGCACTATGAATGAAAAGCAAATCTTTCATTCCTGTAGGCTTGGGAAACAATAAGAATTAGGAAGATATCAACTGCCAAGGCAATCATAACTGAAAAGCAGAGAGCAAGCAATTTTGGAAAACTTTTTTAAAAAGAAAACCTCTCCATTTAAAAGAGCTTTAAGGATTGTGCTACAGGTTGTGGGCTGGACTGTTGGCCAATGGAATTACCCTGTCCATTGTCCCATGCTATTGCCACTCCTTGAATCTGTCTCAGTACAGAACAGAAATACAGAAATTAGCAACAGTATTCAACAGAATGCCTGTATTCACCAGCATGTTGTTGTTGTTTAGTCGTTTAGTCATGTCCGACTCTTCGTGACCCCATGAACCAGAGCACACCAGGCACTCATGTCTTCCACTGCCTACTGCAGTTTGGTCAAGCTCATGCTGGTAGCTTCGAGAACACTGTCCAACCATCTCGTCCTCTGTCGTCCCCTTCTCCTTGTGCCCTCAATCTTTCCCAACATCAGGGTCTTTTCCAGGGAGTCTTCTCTTCTCATGAGATGGCCAAAGTCTTGGAGCCTCAGCTTCAGGATCTGTCCTTCCAGTGAGCACTCAGGGCTGATTTCCTTAAGAATGGATAGGTTTGATCTTCTTGCAGTCCATGGGACTCTCAAGAGTCTCCTCCAGCACCATAATTCAAAAGCATCAATTCAATGAAGAGCCAGTGTGGTATAGTGGTTAAGAGTGGTAGACTTATAATCTGGTGAACCGGGTTCGCGTCTCCGCTCCTCCACATGCAGCTGTTGGGTGACCTTGGGCTAGTCACACTTCTTTGAAGTCTCTCAGCCCCACTCACCTCACAGAGTGTTTGTTGTGGGGAAGGAAGGGAAAGGAGAATGTTAGCCGCTTTGAGACTCCTTTGGGTAGTGATAAAGCAGGATATCAAATCCAAACTCTTCTTCTTCTTCTTCTTCTTCTTCTTCTTCTTCTTCTTCTTCTTCTTCAGCGATCAGTCTTCTTTATGGTCCAACTCTCACTTCCATACATCACTACTGGGAATTCACCAGAATAAGGGGTAGCAATTACCTTCTCCTGGCAGCTGGCTCTTGGAGTGTGCAAAATGTGTAGCATTCTGTTGGGGACACAATGAAATTTAGGCCCCGTCTGTACTACTCAGTTACACAGTATCATCCCAGATTAAACACTCATGGCCAAAGAATCATGGGAACTGCTGTTTGTTAAGGATGCTAAAAGGTGAGTTCCCCACACAGAACTACAATTTCCAGTTTCCTGGGAAGAGGGATTGACTCTTAAACCATGCTGGAAACTGTAGCTCTGCAAGGGGAATAGGGGCCTCCTAACAACTCTCAGCACGCTTAACAAATTTCACTTCTCAGGATTCAAAATGCTGTAATACTGCTTTAAATGTATGGTGCTGGTGGGGCCTTACCTCTGAGTAAACCTGCATAAGATTAAGCTGCATTACACCTTTTCACTGCATTATTTTCACCATGTAATTGGCTCTTCTACAATTACAGAGTGCCATTACTAACACTGGGGGATAATTTACATCTTGTTATTTATGCATGTGAGACAGATAATAAATCCCATGGTGGAGAAGCATCCCAGAGGGACCACATGCTGTGTAATTAGAGACCATTGTTACTGCATTAGTCTTGGTTCCTCTGCCCTCCAACAAATAAGAAGTTGAAGAACAAGAAAACCCAGGAAGATACCGTATTTTTCGCCCCATAGGATGCACTTTTTCCCCTCCAAAAATGAAGGGGAAATGTGTGTGCGTCCTATGGGGCGAATGCAGGCTTTCGCTGAAGTCTGGAGAGCGAGAGGCAAGGGTGCGCACTGACCCCACTCGCTCTCCAGGCTTCAGGAAGCTATCCGCAAGCCTTGCAAGCCCGGCGGGAGTTCCCGCGGGCTCACAAGGCTTGCGGGCAGCAGCCTGCAGCCCGGGCGAGTGTCCGCAAGCCTTGCGCGCCTGGCTTGGGGCAGCAGCCTGTCACCTGAAGCATGGGGAGCCCTCCGGAGGGCTCCCTGTGCTTCGGGCAAGTGTCCGCAAGCCTTGCGCACCCAGCGGTAGGTCCCGACAGGCACGCGAGGCTTGGGGCGGCAGCCTGTCGCACGAAGCACGCGGAGCCCTCTGGAGGGCTCCCCGTGCTTCGGGCGAGTGTCCGCATTCCTTGCGCGCCCGGCGGGAGGCTTGGGGCGGCAGCCTGTCGCATGAAGCACGCGGAGCCCTCCGGAGGGCTCCCTGTGCTTCGAGCGAGTGTCCGTAAGCCTTGCGCGCCCGGCAGGAGGTCCCGCCGGGCGCGCGAGGCTTGGGCGGCAGCCTGCCGCCCGAAGGAGGCGGAGCCCTCCGGAGGGCTCCCTGTGCTTCGGGCGAGTGTCCGCAAGCCTCGCGTGCCCGGTGGGAAGAAAATCTGCCTAAAAATTCTGAGACTCTGTTCCTCAAAAGTGCTCCAGTGAAGCAAATCCAAAGCTTAAGTACCTTAATTCTACAAAGGATGTTCTGTCCTTGATTCTTAAATCGGTCATCTGTCCTTAACTCTTCAAGTAGCAGTTTCATGGCTGTGAGAAGGATTTATTCATCTTTCAGGTTACAAATATGCTACTTCCTGATTAAATCTTGACTAACTACTTTCCTTCAAAAGAATGAATGTCATTGTGCATCTTTTTAATGTGGAATGATCATAAATACGCATAAAATCAAATGCTTTGCTTATCAGTATACAGTCTTTAATCTTGCACAGGGGGTAGAACTCATCCTTTAATTACATACTATGTGTAGTATATAATTAACCATCTCCTCAGGGGAAAGTAATCTGTTACCTGTAGTTTGGAAACTTAAGTGAGGGTATCTAGATATAAATTAACAGAGTATCTGGATTGGAAAAAATGTGATTATTTTATCATCCCCTTTGGGAGGGGTTTTCGTTTTGTTCTCAGTAGTACCTAATGCATATTAAATACTATTACCAAAATTGGGCTGTAAAGCATTCATCAACGGTGCTCTCCAAAGGTAGGTAAAATGTTTGTTTTGTTTACTCATTTGAAGGAAACTCTCTGCTGACCAGTCCAGTTCTACGAGCCACAGCACTCAGGAAGCATGTCAAGTTCTGGGCATAGTTATATTTAATATTGATCTGACAGGGGAGTGCTAAAATCCAAGCCCCACAATGGTAGGGCACCTGACTTTGCCCTTCGCTTACACAATGGAAAGGACATGCAAAAAACATCTGTGGTAAGTATCACCATTCTTTTCAGGACTTTTTGTTTGCTGGTAACCCTTGACATTCCTTGGATTCTTCACTTTAGGAGGAACTTCCAAAGTTACCCTAACGTTTGGTTGAAGGCTCACAATACACACAGCTAGGCGTCTCCTGGGAGGACCTACTTGGTGCTGCTGTGGCAGGTACAGCATACCCCTAAGTTCCCTCTCATCTGATCAAGGCCCATCAACCCACAGAGTGTAAGGCAAAGAGCATTAGCCAAAATTAGGAAGGAAAAGTTTTTTCCTAAGGAAGAGCACCCCCTGTCCAGCTTTTGTCAAAGTGCAAGACTAACAGCCACAATATTCACTACTACTAACCCTCCATTGGTTTCACAGCTAATTAACACCACACCATCCTTCTAAGCTTACTAAATCCTTGGTGCTACTTTAAAAATCTATACTTAGATGCTGTGATTTTATTTATTCTAACTTTATAAATAAAACTCTCTCTCTTTTTTCTCTTAAGTAAGAATAATATATAAATGACAGCACAAGAAACTGATAGAAAATGTTTTGGGACCTTTTAGTCTTGAAAGGGCAGAAAAGTGATTTATTATTCTTCATCCTTCTTTATGCTCTTACCAGCATCTGTATTTTGAGTTGAAATTTTCTTATGTATTCAGATAATTTTCTGTACAAGAATGCCCAGGGGGAAATCTAGCTGAAGGGGAAACAGCCTTCACTGAGTGCTTGTTGCATGAGCAGTCCTCAACTAGGTCCCATGATAAAGAAAATGAAGGCTCTCAACCAGTCAAGAACAGCTTTATAAAATAAAAACACCAACCCTTCACTCTTAGCCTCTGGGATTAAAGTTGATTCCCCACTAATAACTAATCAATGTAAAGTGTGAGGTGACTCATTCTTTGCTTGAAGCTGAATAAAATTTGAAGCCCTAAAAAAACCACTTTTCATGGCTTTATTTCAAACTTTAGAAGCCATTTCATCAAATGATACTATATTTGGAAGTCAAAGCAGGATAATGGGGGGAAAACTTTCTAAAAATGTTTCACGGAGTATCCTTTACATGCAAGGAAAAGAGGAACTCAAAAGGCATCCAAGCCAGACTTGTCATGGATTACTTCAGATTTCCTGAAAAATCATCAGGACCTTTCGATAGTGAGGACTTTCCACGTTCATGCAAGCTTCCCTGTTAAGAGTACTTCTACAGGTCTCATGTCCAGAGCAACCCCAGCAAAGTCTGGGCTGGGTGAAAAGGCAGAAGCTCAGGCCCTGCAGCAGGAGAATGTGGGTGCTCAAGATAGATGGAGGAGCGTGGAAAGCTTTCTTAGGCCAGTGGCAGAATGTAGGCAAAAAACACTGTTAACATCCTTAAACGTACACGCGCTGTCCCATTTTTCATCTGAGAAATGAAATGGCACAGGAAAGAAAAAGTATCCTAGGAATTCAGCTTGGTAATAAAACATTGAGTGGAGTGACTCTGAAAAATCTCCTTCAAGTGGTCTTCACTATGAAAGGTTACAAAAGAGGGGCATGGGGGAAAGCCAACATTTTCCATATTCCAACCAGAACATTTTGCATATTCCGGTGAGAAATGCAGGAACAGATATGGCAACAGGCTAACAAAATAACATGGGCCAAATGGAACATTTACTGCAATATTAAAAGTGCTGAATTTCGAACTAGTTTTATTTTTCCAAAGTACAGTGGTATCTCTGGTTACATACTTAATTCTTCCGGAGGTCCGTTCTTAACTTGAAACTGTTCTTAACCTGAAGCACCACTTTAGCTAATGGGGCCTCCCGCTGCTGCCATGCCACCGCCGCGCGATTTCTGTTCTCATCCTGAAGCAAAGTTCTTAACCCGAGGTCCTATTTCTGGGTTAGCGGAGTCTGTAACCTGAAGCGTATGTAACCTGAAGCGTATGTAACCTGAGGTACCACTGTACATTTTACAGGCTGTTAAAAGGAAAGGCAAAATTAAGCAATCACTGTGAAATATTTTGCAACTCAAAACTGAAGAAAATATTGCAAGAAGATGACTCCTTGTAACTCACCAACAACCTCTACCTTCTAGAAAGCAACTATGGGAGCAAACAACATGTAGGTGGGGGGGAAGGCTTATCTCATCCTGGATCCACAGTTCAAGAAGGACACTGACAAACTGGAACGTGTCCAGAGGAGGGCAACCAAAATGGTCAAAGGCCTGGAAACGATGCCTTATGAGGAACGGCTAAGGGAGCTGGGCATGTTTAGCCTGGAGAAGAGGAGGTTAAGGGGTGATATGATAGCCATGTTCAAATATATAAAAGGATGTCACATAGAGGAGGGAGAAAGGTTGTTTTCTGCTGCTCCAGAGAAGCGGACACGGAGCAATGGATCCAAACTACAAGAAAGAAGATTCCACCTAAACATTAGGAAGAACTTCCTGACAGTAAGAGCTGTTCGACAGTGGAATTTGCTGCCAAGGAGTGTGGTGGAGTCTCCTTCTTTGGAGGTCTTTAAGCAGAGGCTTGACAACCATATGTCAGGAGTGCTCTGATGGTGTTTCCTGCTTGGCAGGGGGTTGGACTCGATGGCCCTTGTGGTCTCTTCCAACTCTATGATTCTGTGATTCTATGATTCTATGGATCCCTGGTCCTCCACCCCATTGCACTCTCCACCTGCTCCCTTGCAGATTTCCATGCTTCTTATGAGAGTGAAAACTGGGGACCACTTTAACACATATCAGGAATGGCCAAGGAACTCTTTCTCCTCTCACCTCACAAAGGTATTTCCTAATAATATTTTTTTCACAAAAAAATTGTTCAGGGAGGTGAATTACACCACATTTCCACAAGACACCTTGTTCAGCCTGGATTAAAATTAGCTTTGGAGTTTCACCACAGACTCCCCATGTGACCTGAGGGAAAGCGAAGTTGCTAAAGAATTGCATTTAGGAGTCAGAGACTAATGGCCAAATCACTGCTCAGCTCTGGAGCTTATGGCATCCTGAGGGAAGTCACTACCAGAGTGCAATGCAGCTTTCTTGGCTGTTATAAGACTTGGCAGCTGCTCTGAGGTCCCTGAGAGGCAAAACATAATTTTTCCAAAAAAAAACCCCACAAAACTTCAAATTACCTGACAATTTAATTTTCGGTTAATTATAACCTGGTTGAGTAGCCATTGCATTAACTCATTAATTTAGCATTCTGTATGTTGCTTCGTTGATTTGCAACAGAGTAACTTCAGTGAATATTGAGATATCACATACTGGTACTCAATCCTACATGCCAAGGTTAAATACCAGTTCAACCTCTGCATCCACTTTCAAAGGGGAAATGACAATGCAAATTATATGGTACCATCCAGCTTCACTGAAATATTAGAATGATAGCATGGCCATCCATAGGATTTTTAAATTTTCTTTTTGGCGGGGTGTGGGGTGTGGAGGATATACTCCAAATAAATAAAGTTGTGCATTTTGTGAACACAGTGATACATTTCAAGTTGAAACATCAGCTTGCTTTCAAGGAATCCACGAATGCTGTAAAACCACAGTGCACAACAATGTTTCCATCAAACAATGAAAGCTAAATGAAAATCAGGATGGATATTTAATCATTCTGTATCTGAAAGTCAACCATGCCCTACTCCCAAGGCGATGAAGGATGCAAAATACATTGCAATGCACTCTCAAGATGATAACCTCTTGGGCTGCACTAGTCTTAAAATACATTAAAAGTACAATTTGAAGACACTCAAAAGTCATCTTAGACCAACAGCTATTTCAGGTTCATTCTTCTACTCTTAACGGCAACAGCTTGACAAAATAAAACAGCTATCACTTGCCTTCAGTGGAGAAATGGGTCGTATTCTACGGGAGAGGAGAATAATTGCCACAACCCCAATAATTGCCACAACCCCAAAGGCCATGCCATAGGCAGCCCTTGATACACCTCCTGAACAGATGGAACTGGCAGCACGGCAAAGTATCTCTGCGGTGGGATTAGCATCTGCGGTGGGATTAGCAACTACAGTATTTTCCCTGACTACTGGATTCTGTGTCTATGTGTGTAATCTGAAGTTGCCTCTAAGGACTGGCAAATTCTGAAGCTTAAAGGTTATATAGGGACATTAAAAATAAGAAGAACACTTACATCACACCTGCTTCTTTATTTATAATATAATCAGCAAAGCAGAAGAGGTGCTTCTGAGCCAAGGTAATAATGATTTGTGAGATTTCATATATTACAAGGTTCTTCAGTAAGAATGTTTTGATACTCTAGTCCATCCATGCATCTGAGAAATGTATGAAACATGAGTGGAATTCAGTGCAGAGCCGAGTAGGATATGCAT